TCCCAGCATCACACACTTAATCCCATTGAGTGGTGGAAGATGAACCAGGTTGCATCCCAGCCCGATCAAAGTCCGCATCTTTGGGAGTGAAGAACAGGAATCCATAAACTTAAAAACTCCCCAGGTTATTCTTGTATGCAGCTTGGTCTGACAAACACTGTAGTGCCTTTAGTACATTGCCCACCTGGAAATCTTGGTAAGTGCAGCTGATTCTGCTTTCCTTTTAAGTCTAGGTTGCTTCTGTAGATACCCTGTTTCTAACAAGCGCACAAGTAATGTGAGTGATGCATGTGTGCACTTGCTGGGCTTCGACAGTGTAGCATCTGCAATCTCATCAGTGTTTTTCATCATTCCAGCATCCAGATATTTAAAGATTCCCCAGTTTATTCTATTTTGCAACCAATTTGAGGACTCCTGGGTTAAAACGGTTTGTCTTAATCTTTGGGTGACAGTATCACCTTGCAAACTTGGTAAAAATGCAGAAAGATCTTATCCTTCTTCTACAAGCTTGGGCATTTGTGTTTGCTATTAACTGTCTATGTGATTTTAATATATAGCTAAATCAGTGGAGAACCACTGTCATAAGTGAAGAAGAATTTAGAGAAACAGATTAATATAGGAAGAGGATGTGGAAAAAGTGGAGCAAATAATAATCATTCATTTACTTACTGTAACCTCTTCCTGGTGGTTGCAAAGAGGCTTCTTGATTTATTTTAGGCCTCTTCAATACAGGCCTAGTGAGATTAGCTCCAGAAGGCAGTGGATCCACAGGGTCAAAAGCCATGGCCTGCAACTTTCTATAGATTCTGGAAGGGGCAGGCGTCATTAGGTCATGTGGAATCATCAAAAGAGTGCCACTGTAGCTGAATAATATTTAAATCGACCACAGAGACTTTTATCTATAAAGTTTAGACCAGTAGCACCTAAATAAATGGTAAGAAGTACAAGCAGGATTAATGCTATCCCTGGATATTTGGCTTCTTTTGTTACTGAACTTCCTGAGTTGGATTGTCCGCTACCTGCAAAGTACATTGCAGACTTTCAGCCTTCCCTGAACACAACAGAGAGAGTGTTGCTTTAGCTAGGTGCAGAGAATGGGGAGTAACTTGAGTGTGAGCTGGTTGAGTCATGTATTATTTTTTGCACTTTAATAAGGCCCTTTTATAATTAGATGGGTTAAAGGACATTCTGTTGGTTTTTTTTTTTTTTTTTCATACCTGTGTTGCAAGGAGTGATATTGTTAATTTTCAGAAGTGGAAGTGACCTTGGCTTTTCTGTTGGTAGCTGTTATAGCTGGTTACTTCTGAATTCTCACTTAGCAAGGTGTAGTGACTTAGGAATTGTGTTGAGGTAGTAGCAGGTTAATTGAGGCAGTTCTGTGCAGCAGTTTAGTACAGAAAAATAAAGAGCTGTTAGGTAGCTGGATGGCTTGAAATTGGCAAATAGTGGACAGAACTTTACATAGTTTCCTTTGCCTTTGCAACGTACTTTTACTCCAGTGAAGATATTAAAAATATATAGGCTTAAGAGCTGAGTGTGGTGGTGCACCCCTGTAATCCTAGCACTGGGGAAGCTGAGGCAGGAGAATGGTCGTGAGTTCAAGGCCAGCCTGAACTACGTAGACACTTGTCCCCATTAAATATATATGTGCTAATAAAAAAAATCTGTGTGTGTGTGTGTATAGGCTATAGCTGGGCATGGTGGCATACATCTCTAGTGCCAGCTACTCAATAGGATCACTTGGTTTGAGGCCCAATATAGCAAGACTCTGTCTGGGTGGGGGTGGTAGGCCTGCATCCATCCATCCATCCACCTATCTATCTATCTTATCTATCTATCATCTGTCTCTATATATATCTATACATGTGTATGCATATGTATGTATATACATATTTATCAGTTCCTTTATATAGATATATCTATATCTCAGTTTCTTGAAATGCTTCTCATTTTATTCTCTCTCTATATCTATATCTATATCTATATCTATATCTATATCTATATATATATAAAATTTTGGTTTTTAGTAGACAGGGTCTTGCTATACAGTTTAGACTGGCCTTGAACTCACTGTCTTGCCCATGCTGGCTTCACTCTCATGTGATCCTCCTGCCTCAGCCTTCTGAGCACTGGGATTACAGATGTGTACCACTATGCCCAGCTATAAAATGTATTTTGATAATGCTATATTTTGGAGGATATAGATGGTAATGTTTTTAAGTTTTAAAACAGTGATATGACAGGAAAATACTGTTCTTTTCCTTGGGATAGATTTCTTCTAAGCATTTCCTATTTTTGGTGCTGCTACCATTGGTATTTTAAAGTCCAATATTTAAAAGGTCATTGCCAGTAGAGATACAACTGATTTTTGTACATTGACTTTGTTTTTGCAACTTTGCTAAACTCACTAGTTCTAGTAGATTCTTTTGGAAGATTCCTATAGTTCTGACTACATAATTGATCATTTCGTGTATAGATAATTTTATATTCTCTCTAGTCTATACACTTTGTATTTCTTGACTGATTGTAGCATTGCTAGAATTTCTGGTACAGTGTTGAACTTACTGACCTGATTATCTTCCATAAATTTTACTTTTTCTGTAATTTCATATAAATGCAATCGTGTGGTATTGTGTGTGCATGTGTGTGCGTGTGAGTGTGTGTAGGGGAGGGAGAGAGAGAGAGGGGGGAGAGAGAGAGAGAGAATGCCTGACTACTTTCACTTAGAGTAAAATTTTTGAGATCCATCTATGTTAGCAGCTCTCTTTGTAGTGGGCTGGGGTATAGCTCAGTGGTGGAGCACTTACCCTGCATATGCAAGGCCCTTGTTCCATCCCCAGCAGCAGCACCACCACCACCCTGCAGCAACAGAACAAACAACCCCCAAAACAGAAGTTTTGTAGTGTAGAAGTGTCACTCAGCTCAGTGGTATGTTCGACGTGAACCGTACCCTTGCTTCATGCTCTATAGTGTGGTCAGTTTTCATAAATGTTGGGGTATTGTTTCTGAGAAGCATAAGTGTTCCTTGCTCATGGGTTTTATATTTCCTTCCTTCCCTCTATCACTTTTCTCACTTCCTTCTCCCTCTCCTCCATTTCCTCCCCATTCCCTTTTCTCCTTTCCTCTTCCTCCTCTTTGTCCCCCAACTCCCAACTCACCCACCCTCTGGTAATAGAACCCAAGGCCTTCACACTAAGCTACAGCCTCAGCCATTTAAATTTTGTTTAATTGTTAGACACGGTCTTCCTAAGTTGTCGAGGCTGAGGTCAAACTTGTGATCCTCCTTTTTAGCCTTGTACGTTGCTGGTATTGCAGCCATCCACCAGCATGCCTTGCTAAGGGATTTATGTTTCTATAGCTGTTCTTTCAAAATCAACTAAGGTAATCACATTGTTTCTTCTTCACTTGTTAAAACAAATGTATTGATTCTTATTTGCACTTTTTCTTAATACTTTGAAATTATTTTAAAATTTAAATGTAACAAAATTGATTTCTTGTGGTGAATAATTACAGATTTTGGCAAATACGAATGTTCCAGTCTCCCCAGTAAAATGCTCAGCAGTTGTATCAACTCCGGGACGCTCTCATAGTGTCCTTCTTTGCCCTCATCAGTCAGCTCTTCCTTTTGCCCCTGGAAATTGCTGACTTGTTTTCTATTCTTACAGCTTTGCCTTTTGCTAAACGTCATACAACTTGTATAGGTTGTGGCCTTTTGAATATGACTTATTTTACCTAGCAATATGCACTTAGATTCATCTGTGTGGTATCCATTAATAATTATCCCTTTTTATTACTGAGTAGTATTCCACTGTCTTAAGTGTACTGTATTTTGCCTCTCCATTCTGTGAGTCAAGGATATTTGTTTTGTTTCCATTTTTGGGAATTGGGAATAAAACTGCTATAAACATTTGCATACAGGTGCTTGCATGAACCCAGGTTTTTATTTCCTTTGGTCTAACACTTAAGAGTGGGATTGCTAGTGTAGCTTTCACTTTAGGCAGTGTGGGAGGTTTTAAACTATAGGTTGTATTTCTTTAATTCTACCAAAGGGATCAAATTCTCCCTTCCTTCCCTTCCCCTTGCCATTGAGCCCAGCACCTCATGGATGCTAGGCAAATAATTTTGCAGTGAGCTACATCCCAGGTCTTTTATGTATTTTGAGGCAGTGTCTCACTAAGTTGCCGAGGCTAGGCTCGAACTTCCCATCTTTCTGCCTCAGCCTCCTGAGTAGCTGGAATTAGAGATGTGGACTACCGTGCCCCAGCATGGTGCTATTTCTAATTAGAAAGACACAAGAATTTTGTTGTTTGGATGTTGATTTTTGTTCTCATTTATCTCACTGTTTCAAACTCTGAATGAAGTAATTTGTAAATTATCGTAGTACTTGGAATTCTGGTGACAAGTCCTATGAAATTGGCCTTACAAAGAGCCATAGTTGTAAGGATAGGACATCATTTAAGTGGGGCAAAGTACCATCCTGAGGAACAAGATTTTATTCTTGTCTCTAATCTTAGCTATCCATTAATTTAAAGGCAGTCAGAGTATGCAGTGCTTAAGTCCCCAGGATTTCTCAAATTCGAAACCTCTCCCTAAGCCATCGGCATTCTGGGTGGTTTTCATTTGGGCTGTGCTCATCTGTTGGAGTAAGACACATGTGCATTAGGTGGAGTGGAATTTGTATTACTCTTTCACATTTTCTCCCAATGCCTGAAATAAAATTAAGGAAAAGGTTGCTTTACTGTTTCAACAGTCTATTTAAATATTAAAACAGATTCATTTTCCTCTGTGAATAGAAGCAACTTTATTTTTGAAACAGATGAAATAGGCTTAAAACTGGTTTCAGGTTATTTTTAAAATGCTTTTTTTCTAGTATTCAGTAAGAAGAAATACAGATGCTATGAGAATTAGAGTACTGATGAAGGGATGTGGTGTTTATAGAAATATAAGAAAATGATTTTGTTTACTTTCCTAATCATTCAATGTTACATTTCATATTTTAGATCCTGTTTGACCAAACTCAGAGATCAATTAAGGCACAGCTTCAGAACTTTGTTAAAGAGTAAGAGTCTTTTTGGTTTATGTATTATGCCGATGAACTACTTTAAAGATAACGATACACAATGTCACAACTATTGTTACTCACTTATTATTTGGTGAAAATTTGTTTCATTTTCTCTTAAAAGAAAAAAGCAAAAAAGAGTCAGTCAACTGCAGTGAAGGGGAAGGAAAACAACCACTTAATGATTGCATCTAGAAAGTGACCTTTTTGAAAGAAATTACGGCTCATGAAATTCTAGTTGAAATAGCGTTAGTGGTTGTCCTTGGAACTGACTTTTCTCTTGCCTCAGTACGAGAGTAAGAAGGACTCACAGAAGTACGCATTTTTGTTACGTACAAAACCTTTTGTGTCAGGTTCATTATGCTTCATATGCGAAACAAAATTGACCTAGAAATAAAGTGTGAACTTTGTAGACTTTGAGAAAGTCCTTTTTCACATTAATAATTTAGTTTTTCTTTTAATTCTTTTACTGAGAATATATAAAATTACAGGTAAAACTGGTTATGATAGAATGTTTAATATAAATTGTAGAGATTGTAAATAGCACCAGAACTTACTAGCATAATGCACTGCTATTTCAGTAGGTTAGACTTTGTTGTGGAAATGGTGTCTCAAAGGTTTGTATATAAATTACTCCTTAGTAGACACTCCGATTGTCCTTGTAGAATGTATATATAGAAATTCATGGTAACTCTCAGTTAAAATCTTTCTTAGGTTTATTTGATTAAAAATAATTTTTCTAGAGATTATTTTATCTAATTCCTTCATAGTAAAAGTAAAGAAATGTTATGTGATTAAAAGTAAGGTGATTAGTAACTCCAGGGTGTCACTTTTCAAGACCATTGAATGGGATACTGTTGGCCCTTACTGGTACTGGGCTTTTAGAAATTGATGTGTGTGCTTGTGCATGGACATGAGTTTGTGTGTGTGTGCTTTTAAAAATTTATTTATAAAAAACTAGCCGTAGACTATCCATAGTGGTAAAATCAAAGGTGTGTCTTTACAAAAAATAGATCCTCAAATTTTTAAGATTTATCCCAAAGACTAATGAATTATAATCTTTGAGAAAGGGCTGGGAATTTGCATTTGACACAAGTACCCTGTGATGATTCTTATGTGTGCTACTGTTTAAAAATCAGTGGTTAAATAATGGTACATGTCCCTGAATTTATTTTTTTAAAGCATTAACTTTATCTTTCTGTTAATTTGAGAATTTATTTTCACTTCGTGTTACATCCATTAAAATAATAAGCATCCCCAGCCCTGAGTCTGAAATATGAAATACTCTGAATCCAAAATCTGAAACTTTTTGATCACCAGGCTTGGATTTTTGGATTGGGTATGCTCAGCTGGAAAGATTCATAAAATACTGTCAAATCCAGAACGCTCTGAAATCCAAAACTCCTCTGCTTCCACGCATTTCAGATTATTGGTACTCAACCTGTAATTGGGGAATAATACGTAATTCCGTTGGAAGTGCTCATGAGTGTCAGTGCATGGTGCAACAAATGGAGGCTCATAAGAATTAAATGCTAAAATTACTTTACCAGAGTTTTTCAACAAGAAAGTTTCATGAAAGAAAGCTTCACTAAGTTTTTGTTTTTTAGAGATCTTAGAAAATTCAAAGATGCCAAGAAGCAATTTGAAAAAGTCAGTGAAGAAAAAGAAAATGCATTAGTAAAAAATGCCCAAGTTCAAAGAAACAAACAGCACGAAGTTGAAGAAGCCACAAACATTCTGACAGCAACAAGAAAATGTTTTCGACACATAGCCCTTGACTATGTACTTCAGGTAGTTATTTTGTTGTTTTCAAACAGTGCTTACTAAACAGTATGCTACTTTTGAGAGATTGCACTATCAATAATAATACTTTTGTTTGAGTTTAAAATTCAAACATGATCTTTTCTGGAAAATGTCACTTATCTGTATATACTTTTTGTGTATGTACATGCTCTGTGTGGATGGGATGTATGTGCCTTTAGTTCAGATTCTTTCCTCTTTTCACTTAATTAAAACTTCACCCATTTTTGAACATTTTTAAAAGGTATTTTAAAAACTACTATACATACTTTATTTTATGTAGTTCCCAATTGATATTTTACTGTCAGACTTTTAAGGTGTTGTTAGTTTTTACTGGGAATAGTAAAACTATAACTTTAAATAATTGTTTGTGATAATAATATCCTTATATATACATTGTTTGCTACTTTTCTACTTATTTCTTTAGAGTAGATTCTTGGTGATTTCAAGACTCACTATATTGCTCAATGAGAAATATTTCTAGAATAGTGTTTTCTTTTTTTAATCAGGTGTGCATTTTCAAAGCTAGAGATCTGGGTTTGAGGAGTGTAGCTCAGTGATAGACCACTTGTCTACCATGCATAAGGCCTTGGGTTCCACCCCAAGCTCCTCAAAAAACAAAAATCAAAACAAAAGAAAAAGCTAGAGATCTGGGTTTGGCAAGGTGTTTGGTGATCTTCTTGTCAAATGAATAATTGAGCCTAGTTTGCATGTGATAGGTCTTCAAAGGAACTCAAAACACATGATAAATGATGGCATAATATGATATTTCACAGGTACATCATATCTCTCTATATATCAAGGGGTTCAAAGCTTGAAAGCTTTAAAGTTTAGGGGATTATCTTGTTCAGATCTTGTGTTACAAACAGCAGTAATGTCAGAGATGGTTGACTCCATAGTAATAGTAGTAATAGTCATAATACAGATTATTTCTTTTTTTAAAAAAACCATAATATACAAATTAGTGGTTAAAAATGACTTGTGTAATTGCAAAACATTAGATAATGCACTTTATGTTTTTCCTAAGTTCCTGTGGGAAGTTAAGTTGTTAAAAATGCAGTCTGTTCCCTTCATGGATGAAAGGCTTCTAGAATGGAGGAGTCTGTCTTGTTTTCTGCTTGCTGTCTACATTCCTTCCTGCTGCAAACAAGTCCTCAGCCTTCCCAATACCCTTTGCTGGCATGGCCATGCACAGGTCTTATTCATTACATTTGCTTTAGTTTTTGGCCTACGTGACTATTCTCATTCATTGAGATGGTAGATCACACGCTCCTTCTTGAAATATATTTTTATCTTGATTTATCTAAAATCCTCTTTTGGGTCCTCCTAGTTCTTTTCAGTTTCTGCCTTGAAACTTTTCCTTTGTCTGCCTTTTTCGTCTCCTTTTAAGGCTTCCATCTTTGGTTTTGTTCCTTTTCTTTGCTATTCTCTGACATTCTTATCATGTCCTGTGCTTGAATTGCTACCTGTATATAAATGACAAAATCCATTATTCACAGTCGTGCCATATTCAGTGTCTAAAACTGAAATCTGCAACTTCCAAAATGGCTTTTTTTTCTCTCTTGGTCCTTTCTAACGTTGTGACATCACCTGCTTACTCTCACAGAAGCTTATAATAGGAGCTGGCCACCAAGACACCTTGAAATTCCTCTTCCATACTTCATAAATATGTTTTCTCCTTCCCCTAGCTGCTGTCCTAAACCAGTCTCGACTGCTTCTCACCTAGAATATTAGTAGGACAATCTCATAAACATGGCCTTTTCTGCAGTGCTTTTCCTGCCGTCTCTGATTCACATTCTGGCCTGTGGTCGGGGTTGTTCACATCTTCTCCAGGCAGAATGAACTGTTCCTGCCTCTTCTGTCTCTGTTGCCGTAATATTTTCATATGCACTGCAGTTAGATGACTGACCGCATTTACCGTGAACATGTACTTATGTCTTTTCTATTCCTAGATTGTGTCCCTATCTGGTAGTTTAGTGGTTGGAAAAAATATGTGTAATAAATGTTTTTTCAAAGAGTGAATGACTTAAATGTTATGAATTTTATATATGAGGGCTTTCATCCAAAGTATTCATTGTTGTCAAACTTACACCTGATAAATAGTTTACTTCTTTTTGTGTTCATCTGACAGTTCTAAGTTACCTTCCTCACCCACCTATATATATATATATATATATATTTTTTTTTTTTTCTTGACCCACCAATATCTTGAAGCTGACATGTAGAAGCAACTAATGCTTAATTGTTGAGAAAGATTATTAGCCATTTCTTGGTATGTTTTTGTTTTCTATTGAGTGCTTTAAATTATCTTGAAAAGTGGTCAGAGAATTCAGTGGGAAGGACATATGAAAAGATATTGTGTAATCTTTCAAAAATATTAACAAAAGTGAATGATTTAGGTAAACATTTTATTTCAATAAGCTGATACTTAATAACAGACAAAAAATGTTTATTAGGAATTTCTGGAGTTGGGAGAGGATCCCAAAGATCCCAAGAAGCAAATCTGTTAATTTACTGATCTTTCAATAAGTTTAGTCTAATTAAAATATGTAAGATCCATTACTCTTAACAAATATTGATTGTTTATTATGTGCTGCTTGAGGACTAAAGCTGAGAATAAGGCAGAGGCTCTGGTCTCATGGAACTTACACTTTAGCTTGGGAAAAGACCATAAGAAAATACGAGGTTAAATAAATAGGGTTTATGTACTAAACATTGTGCAAGGAACTGCACTGGCCCTTGGTAAGGAAATGGTACTTGAAACCTGATTGGTAAGAGGCAGCCTCATAGTCTCAAAGGCAGCCATCCTTCCATGAAGACGGAAGAGCTAAGACAAATGCTTTGAGATGGGGACAATCTTAGGCAATGGTTGTAGCACAGAAATGTGGAAAGTAATCAAAAACTAGGTTGGAGAGACGGGACCTCATCACAGCAGGCCTTACTCAACATGATAGGAAGTGAGGGAATTTTAAGTCAGAGGTAACTGTGTGGCAGTGGACCATAGGGTGCTAGGAAGGGATGCAAGAGAGTAGTTCATAGGCTACTGCAAAGTCCAGGAAAGATGTGATGTGAATTAGCGTTTGCATTAAGGCTGTATATTGAACTTTGATGTCCATGCAGAATAGGGAGGGTGGGGAAAAGATGGAGTTCTCAGAAGTTTAAAAGTCAAAATAGTTCTGTCACTATAATATTTTAATTTAGGTGGCTGATTTTTTACTGAGCTAAAAAGTGATTCAGAATGTCATTGGTATGTTTATATTAACTTTTTGCAAAATGGGGGTCAAAGGATGAAAAACTTGAGTTTGGTTTCTATTTCACTTTTAGAAAAGAATCAAACCATTAGAATATGCAAATTTTGCCATAACACCAATTTTGGTGTTATGGATTAGTTTTAAAAATGGTACATGGGTGATTAATCAAGCATATTTTCCCTCAGATTAATGTTCTTCAATCAAAAAGGAGATCAGAAATCCTAAAATCAGTAAGATATTAATTGAAATAATGTTTTAAATATTTTAATATGAAACTAACTCTACATAGTTAAATATTTATAGGAACATCTACTAAATATACATTCCATGCTTCATAATTGCTGTTATTTCCTTTTTATCTTCATTTGTATTTCTTTTTCAAAGTAATTTCTGTCATGTCTTCATGTTACAGTTGTTTATGTGTATCTTATCTATTAATATACGTACCTCTAGCTCTATAAAGACAGACTTTTTTTTTTTTGTTTTGTTTTTTCTCCGGTACCGGGAACCGAACTCACGACCTTGCGCTTGCCAGGCAGGCGCTTTTGCCGCTGAGCTAAATCCCCAGCCCCTATAAAGACAGACTTAGTGCTGTTCTGTTTCCATTCTATCCTGATGTGATGCTTTACACTAGATGCCCAGGACTGTTTGGTGAACAACTAGAAGTGGCTGTTGTAAAAACTTTTGCCTTTTTTTTTTTTTTTGGTACCAGGAATTGAACTCAGGACCTTGTGCTTGCCAGGAAGGTGCTTACACCTCTGAGCTATATCCCCAGCATAAAAACCTTTGAGAATACTTTAGAATTTGTTTTGAAATTTATAAAAGTATAATCCTATTGCATTTAGATTTTGAACTTCCTCTCATTTATAGTTGTTTTTATAAATTTCCTGTGCAACCTTTTTTAACATATTTATACTTTCCTCTAGATTTTTTAAACTTGCGATTGAGGACTTACAGGAGTCAGTCATTTGGAGAATTTACCCTTACGGTTGATAGTGTTTCAACCTTTTGGTTTGTTCCCTGGTGTTCAGTTCCAAAACCAGTGAGTGCAATTTTAGGATTGCTGTTATTTTTTCCTGAGCCTTTCATCCTTGTGACAATGATACGTATTTTTTATTTACCCAGTGTTTGTTTTCATTTTTGTTGGATGGATCTTAAAGCTAACAGGAAAATGAACAGGGAGATGGTTTGATGTGGTGTTGCAGTCTTTCTGAGAGCCTTCAAAATTATTTCTCCTTTGAATTTATTTGCAGAAGTTACTTTTTCCCCCAAAGGATGTATTAAAATGGCTTTATATTCCTGTTTTCACTTGGCTTTCTCCTAGATTTTATGTTCATTTTTGTGTTGTACATTGTATTTTTAATTTAAACTCTTTTTAAAAAATGATATTTATCTCCTGCTTGTTTTGCAGATTGACAGTAATGTGTTGACAGTAATATTTAATGATGACTTTTATGACCAAGTAGAATTCTACCATATAAATGTATATACAGTAGGTTTTGCAGGCCACATGGTCTTTGTTGTACTTACTCAGCTGTCCCCTTGTAATGAGAAAGCAGACATAATTAATGTGCAAATGAGTGGTCATGGCTGTGTTCCAATAAAACTTCATTTACGGGCACAGAAATTCTAATTTCATACAGTGTTCACATATCATGAATTTTATGTGTCCTTTTCATTTTCTTTCAATCATTTAAAAATGTAAAAACCATTCTTACCTCATGGGCCATCCAGAAATAGGTGCATACAGTTTGCAAGTCAGTTTGCTGAACTTGACTATACCACAAATTATCTTCATCAATTAGTGAATGTTCAAGTAATTTCCATATTTTTGACATTAAAACAGCATTGTAGTAATAATTCTAGTGAATAATATGATTATTTTCTTAGGATAGATTTATAGACAAGGGATTACTTAGAGGGTTTAACTAGTGAATAAAGTCGTTTGAAATATTGTCAAGGGCTGGGGATATAGCTCAGAGGCACAGCACCTGCCTGGAAACCACAAGGTTGTGACTCAGCAGCACAGCGGTTGCCTGGCCAGCATGAGGTCATGAGCTCCATTCCTGGTACCACCTGCCCCCCCCAAAAAAGAAAAAAAATATTGTCAAAGATTATACCGTATTTGTGCTAATAGTGTATGTAAATTAATACTTCTGCACATTTTATGAACAATGAGTATTACAGTTTCCCTTCCCTTACCCCATTGGCGGATAGAAATTGTGATCTCATTATTTAGTTTTGTATTTCATTAATACAAATTAGTTTGAACCTTTTATTTGGTCACTTCTGTACTTTATGTATGTCCTTTTGTCTCTTACTTTATTGGAGTGTTTATTTTTCATACTGATTGTAATATCGCCTACATAGTAAGATTTTAAATCTTTATCATCCATTTTTTCCTAGTTTATCATTTGTCTTCTAATATGCCTGTAATATGTTTTGATATACAGTAATATTTTGCATTTAATATAGCCCTCTTCCTCTCCTCCATTTTTGTTTTACAATTTAATGGTTTTTAGAAAACCATTTTCCTATTGTGAGTTTTGTCCTTTCATTTTTGGGTTTTATTTAGTTGTTTTTCCTCCTGGAAACAAATTTTTGTTTGGAGGATTGTTGAGTGTTAAGGACCTTATGACCAATTTTCGATTTCAGAGCATTAAATAAATGTTACTAAAAATATGGAGGTCAGATAATTCTTGCCATACTATATACTTATGTAATTCCTTCCCATGTAAAAACTTTAACTAATAAAAATAAGGGTTATTTTTCTCTTATGGGTACGTAAAATACAGAAAAATCTTGGAAAAAGCATTCCTTAATGCCAGTTTTGAATTTGTGGAATGAATGTAAAGAAAGCTCCCAATTGGCAGTCTTTTGACTCATTTTATTTTGTCATCTTGAGAAACAGTGGGAGCATTTTGGATCTAGTAGGTTGTAAAGTGTTCATGATTATTTTATTTTGAGAGTTTTGTGTTTCTTTTTATTTTTTGTGTCCTATTTGCTTAAGGTTTGCCAGTGAGCTTAGTTCAAGGAGCACATAGTTAATAATGTACCCGAGAAGATAGTGAAACTTGAAAATTTTATTATTTGAATAGTTATATAAATTTTGATGAACTAGCTATAACCTAAGCAAGTACAAATTTGGGGCCTATTAAAATTTCCAACCACTGAGAAATTTCTTTTAAACAAAATTCTCATTGCATTTGCAAATATTTATGAAATGCTTCTAAGAAAAATGACTCATTTTATTTTTAAATAGGTCTGACATTGTGGGCTCTTGTGAAACAATGTTAAGCATTAAATAGGATGAGGACGGGGCTGGAGATTTAGCTCAGCGGCACAGTGCCTGCCTGGCAAGCACAAGGTCGTGAGTTCGGTTGCCGGTACTGGGAAAAAAAAAAAAACAAAACTAGGATGAGGACTTTAAAATACTTCCAATTATTTATCTAGGATTGGATTTTAAATCTTTATTTAAATCTTTATTTTCAATAAAGATTTTATTTATTTTATTTTCCCTTTCAGATGTTATCCTTTATGTATGCCCATTTGGCCTTCTTTCATCAAGGATATGATCTATTTAGTGAGCTTGGGCCTTACATGAAAGATCTTGGAGCACAGGTAATATTGAGCTGTATTTCTTGTTTCTATTATACATTGATAGTTACATTTTTAAAGAAATGTAGCATAGTGGGGGATTTGACATTTCTTTTACTTTATGGTGAAGTTTGATGCAGCAGATTATTTATTGTGTGGGTTAATTGTATAACCAGAAATAAAAGTAAAAATAATCTTCTGTTATAGATTGTAAATGAGGGTAGTAAGAAGGTGAATGTAAAAATAGTGTCTTTTCATAGTATACATAGTTTTATTTTTTAATTTCTTACACTTGGATAATTGAGTTACTGTCCTAATTTGCCTTTCATTTGAGTTATACATCTTTCTATATTTATGGTATATTATTTGATTAATGAAATTTTAGAATTTTAGTATTATGGGAACTCTTTCATCACATAGACTATATTTAGGTATCTCTTTTTCTTGTGTGTGTTTTTGTGTGTGTGTGTTTTACAGTTAAACATATACTATAAGAAAGTTGTATTTAGGAAATTTTTGTTTTGCTGGAAGTATTTTCATATCTGATCTGAAGCATTTTTTCAGTATGTTTGGGAACTATTTTTGGTGGGGGGATGCTGAGGATTGCACCAAAGGCCTTGTGCACAGCAGGCAAACACATTTCCACGGAGCTACACCGGTAGCCCCTGGGAACATTGTTTTTATTTGTTGGTGAACTTTCTTGATTTAATGATGTAAGTTTTTAGGTAGTTGTCTTTCCCAAGATGGTTCAATTTGCTTTGTTTTGTTGTTGTATCTTTTTTTGAGACAAGGTCTCACTATGTAGTTCGGGCTGGCCTTGAACTATGTAGCCAGGTTGGCCTCGAACTCACTGTGATCCTTCTGCTTCAGCCTCTTGAGCACTAGGATTACAGGTGTGAACCACCACGTCACCTCGTCTGGCTAACTTTGTAGCATCCCTGGGTTGACATGAAACAGTTTTCTTTTTGAGGAGAGGGGATTAATGATGAAAAATATAGTTTAGGGAAATGAAAGGTAAGATTGGAATGGGAATTGGATTCACTCTTTAGAGTACGTGTGTGAGGCTGGGCTTAGTGGTGGTATACACCTATAATCCCAGCACTTGGGAGGCCAAGGCAGGAGGATCACTGTGAGTTTGAGGCCAGCGTGGGCTACGTAGTGAGTTCAAGCCCAGCCCTTGAACTATATAGCGAGACTGTATCTCAAAAATACAAAAAACAACAAAAACAAAAAACCCCAAATAAACAAAGGAACAAGAGGGTTTGTGTGGGGTATGTCTGTTGGGATGATGTGGGCTAAGTATGATATTCAGGACATATGTTGTGAAGTACACAGATCTGTTTTTTATTTCTGTTGAATTTAATCTGTTGATAGAAACCAACAAATCACCATTTTTAGTCTTCGTGCTAAGTGCTGTGTGTATATCATTTGGGATTAGATTTGTGTGCAAGTGATAGAAAAATGAGAATACTAGTAGTTCAAAAAGATGGCATTTTATTTCTGGTATGTAGAAGCAAAGGTGTGGTATTGTGGTCACTTGATTGACAGGGACCCAGGCTTATTTTACCTTTAAATTCATTGTGTCTCACGGTTTATAATAGCTAATCAGGTTGTAGCCATCATTCTCAAATTCCAGCTGACAGGCAGGAAGAAGGGAAAAGGACACATTCTCTCTCCTTAAGGACATTTCCTGGATGTTGTACGTGTCACTTCTACGTCCATCCTGGGGCTGGGGATTTAGCTCAGCGGCAAAGTGCCTGCCTGGCAAGCGCAAGGTCGTGAGTTCAGTTCCTGGTACCGGAGAAAAACCAAAAAAACCAAAAAAAAAAAAAAAAAAACAAGCGCAAGGTCGTGAGTTCAGTTCCTGGTACCGGAGAAAAACCAAAAAAACAACAACAAAAAAAAAAAACCAAAAAAAACAAACAAACTTCTACGTCCATCCCAATGTCATTGCTTGGCCAAGATCACACTGTGAGGAAACCTAGGATACAGCCTTAATGCCAGAAGATGGCCTATAGAATTTGAGACTTCTATTGTTGTGGAAGAAAGAGAAAATATATTAGGAACATCTAGCCTTTTCCATCATATGGAGGGTGGGCACAGGGTGTTATAGGAACATACAGACAGGAATCCAATGGAGCCTTTTGGGAAGGTAAGACCTTCCTAGGTTACAGGCATTTCTTACATCCTGTCAAACATTAGATTGCACTCTCATCTTACATTGAGTATAACTTTGAAAAACAGTATGAATTGAAATTTTACTTGACAGGTTGAAGTAATTTATTATTAATAACTTAAGTTTTATATCCTTCAGATGTCAGATAAGTTTTTAGGCTCTTGAAAAAGACGTAATAGGCCATGTAGTGCCTGGTGGAGAGGGCCTAGGTGGGAGTGGTCACTTGGGATATTCTGTGAGTAACTGAGGAGATAATGGCATCTCAGAGTAAAAGGTTACTATTCTTTTATTATTACTCTTTCTTCAAGCAATTTCATCAGATCAGTTATTGTTTCTGCCATTTAGATTTGCCTGTAACATTAGGAAGCCAGCTTGCAACAGAAAACATCTTGAGTGACGCACAGTGTCTGTTAGAGTAAACCTGAGGGAGTTGGCTGCAGCAGCTCAACTGTGTACTGCATTTTGCTCTCTGTGGGGGAACTCATCAGTATCTCTTCCTTATAATTTTGATTGTAATGACCAGAAATTGCTGAGTGGGTCAGCAGGCAGCTTCAGCTAGTCATTTCCTTATTCAAGAACTGAACACATTATCATGCAGTGTCCAAGATGAGGCCTCCTGTTGTGCACACTTGGCACCAGGACTGTTCTTGAAAACCAGACCTTCTCTAGAGGAGATAGCTTCTCAAGGAGGATTTAATACCAGAAAGAAAAAAAAGGGAACTCTACTTTAGGGTTTAGCCAAAATGCCTTTTTAGATAAACAAATTGAATGACTTACTGCTATGCTTATCTGTGTAATGTATTGGAATATGGTTTGAAAAAAACAACCTTACATTTTTTTCTTTGCTTTTTAAGTCTACAATTTAATCTTTTTCCCCCTTTGTAGTTGGATAGACTGGTTGTGGATGCAGCAAAGGAGAAAAGGGAGATGGAACAAAAACATTCCACCATTCAACAAAAGGTACATGAAGGGAAAAGTTAATTTCTGTTTTATGTAGTTGCTTGAACAAATGCTTTGAGTTACTTTAATTACACCATAGTACAGATAAATTTCTCTTCTTTTTGTGAAAAGTAGTTTTCAGATGTTAAAGTATGAATTTGTTACCCTTTCAGATCAAAACACTTTGGAAGCAATGCTCTCTGCAGTTTATAAAAAAAGTCTTATTCTCTTACAGCCATAACTAAGTTAAAGGTGACCCTTAGAATTTGAAACACTGTTCATAGTTTTATTTAGGATGCCACCAGCCTCCTTTAAAAATTGTGTGTGTGTGTGTGTGTGTATGTGTGTGTGTGTGTGTGAGATGGGGGAGGGGATGAACATGAGTAAACCTTAGTGTCAGTGTTCCTGACGTGCCAGTGGTAGTCACCCTAAGGCAGCACTCTCTCTCTTTCCCATCGTGCTAAAATTTGCACTGCTTGTTAAATTGCTGAAGCATAGCTAATTTTTAAAATTTGTTTAAGAAAATGAAAGATATTAAACTAGTCTTATTGCTAAAGTTGAATGTGACATGCTTAAAACTCAATACAATTTTTATCTTAGTGATTATTTTCTGCAGTAATCTGAAAACAAAAGGAGAGAGTTGGAGGTTGAGGGCAATAATGCTCGTGTATCACAAAGTGCCTCTGGTTTGCTTTAAATTTGTTCTCTTGGTATTGAGCAGACAAATCAACTTTTGTTAGGGTTTAAAACTTACTCTTTTTTTTTTTTTTCTTGAGACAAGGTCTGCTATGTAGTTCACATTGGCCTTGAACTCACTATGTAGCTGAGGCTGGCCTCAAACTCCTGGCTATCTTCTTGCCTCGGCCTCCCAAGTGCTGGGATTACAGGTGTGCGCCATCATGCCGGCTGTTATTGCTTATTTAGAATTTAAAATACTTGTAGACTAAATCTGATGTAGAAAATGTGTGAGGAAGAAAATGAAAACAAAATCAGTAAGAAAAGGAAAATTTAATTGATGGATTATTCATGCTGAAAGAGAAACAGTATTTTAAAAAGGAAAGATTTTCTATCAGGCCATCTTTAGTTACTACTTCTTAGTTATTGTCACATGATACAAATTCCTTATGTTCTTCTGTTTTAAGTGATACAAACTTTTTTTAAATTGACAAGCAAAAATAGTGTGTTTTTGGGGTAATACAACATGATGTTTTGCATCTTTGTTTTTTGCAGCTTGTTTTAATGACATTATCATGAAAAGATTGTTAAAAATTGGGACCAATCATCTTTAATTAAAGTGAAAGATCATGGCATTTATAGAAATTTGTGATATTTGCTTAAACTAAAAATTTAAAATATTAAGTATCTGTTAATGTCTTTCCCTATTGTGTACATAGTTTAGTATTATATTAAAGGTCAAAAACTGGTGAATTATTAAATCTAGGATAGTTTATTTGATTTTAAACCATACACAACTGTTTTCCTTTAAATAATAGTATTTTTGTACATTATGAATACTTACCTTTATTCTTCCCTTAAATGCTGACGCAAGGCTGCATTACAGGTAAAAAAAAAAAAAAAATTCCATTCAACTCAAGTATAATAAGGGAAAATATATCTAATGTAATTAGATTTTTAAAGGGATTGACATTGATAAGTTAAAGAAACAGGGTTGCTATGAGCATTTGTATTTGTGTCTTTTGATATGTGTATACCTTTCTGGTGAATTTATATGAGTAATAAAGCCGCTGCCTCAGAGTGTGTGTACTTCCGTACATAATGGCTGATGCGAAGTTGTTTTCCAGAATGTGATTCGGTTCCTGGCAGGCATCACTGTGTGAGAGTTCCCATTGCTCCTTGCCACATCATTGTAGTGTGAGAGCTTTGCCAGTGTGGTGGGTAGACAATTGATATATCGTTGTAGTTTTGATTTGTCCTGTGTGTGTGTATGTGTGTGTGTGTGTGTGTGTGTGTGTGTGTGTTACTGGCGATTGAACTCAGGAGCTTACACAAGTCAGGCATTTGCTTTACAGCTAAGCCAGATACCCAGCCCTTTTTATGTTTGAGACAGGGTCTTGTTAAATTGCCAGGCTAATTCTCTTTTAATACTGATTTATCTCTGGATTCTTTTGGATATTCTGAGTACAAAGTCTTATTCATAAATAATGTTAGTTTGTTTCTTCCTTTCTAATTTTCATCTTTTCCTACTAGTTTGTTGGCCAGGACCTTTTTCGTAATCTTGAATGGAAGTGACAATAATAGTCTTTCTTGTCTTGCTTGCAGTTTCACTAGAAAAGCTTCTTTGACCACCTTTGGTTTAGTCTTCATCCCTTGGACCCCACATGAAATGCAGGCTTTCCTGACGTCCAGATGAAAGCTGGATGCCTTGCTCTGTTGACCTCTTTGCCTTCCAGTTTTCATTTATCTTTTTGCGTCAGAGCAGTGGTGGTGAACCTGCAGCATGCTTGCTGCAGTGGGCTGTGTTATCATTGAAAGCTGTAAAAGGTCTGCCATCACTGCCTAAGAATATTCCTTCCTAATTTGTCATCCGATCACTGCAATCAGAGGTTCTGATGGATGCATTTCATTCAGCAGTAGTTATAAAATCTTTTATACATTTTAATAAACCCATTTATAGCCTTAAAAATCTTTTACATTTTAAGCACTATACTCTGTCACATTTAAAAATACTCTAAATATTGATATTAATAGTGATTAAGTTCAAGATTTAAATTATCTCAAGAAATATAGTTGAAAAATAGAGAAACACTTGTAATCCATTGCATGTTCAAGGTTGTCTCATTTTTTTCCCTTACACACTTCCTTGGCAATAAATGATGACAGCTAGAATGTTAGCACTGTTCTGAAAAAGATCCAAATGATGGTTCTTTTTGTAATTGGTGCCTATTAGTGATACAGAAAAATGTGCCTTCCTTACATGTATTTTGATTACTTTCCTCCCCATTACTCTCCTCGCCCTTGCTGTCTGATCCCCATGCCTATCTCTAAAAGTTTACCTTTTAATTTCTATCATTTCTCCTTTATATTTTAAAAATTTGCTTTTACATTGCTTATATAAGGGAAAATGTGTGCTATATAACTTTCTGAGACTGGCTTATTTTGCTTAACATGAGGGTCTCCAATTCTGTTGATTTTCCTGCAGATGACATGATTTCATTCTTCTTTATGGCAGAATAATATGCCCTGTATATATGTATATACCACATTTCTGTTATCTCTTCATCTGTTGATGGACACATAGCCTATTTCTGCAACTTAGCTGTTGTAAATTGTGCCACTGCAGATGTTTTTTTTTGGTTTTTCTCTGGTACCGGGAACCGAACTCACGACCTTGCGCTTGCCAGGCAGGCGCTTTGCCGCTGAGCTAAATCCCCAGCCCCTTGCCACTGCAGATGTATGGCACTATATCACTGTGTATCGCTATAGTGTGCTATTTTAAATTTTTTGGGGAGTATACCAAGCCGTGGTATATGTATCTATTTTTAGTTTTTTGAGGAATGTGCACATTGATTTCCAGTGTTTGTACTAGTTTACACTCCCACCAACAGTGTAAGAAGGTTCTTTCATCCTTGACAGTTTGTTTTTTGTGTTTTTGATGATAGCGATACTAACAAGAGTTAGAGAAAATTTCAACGTAGTTTTTTGATTTGTACTTCTTTTTTATTTTTATTTATTTACTTACCTATTTATATTTTTGAGACAGGGTCTTGCTTTGTAGTTGAGGCTTGCCTGGTCTCACTGTGTAGCCCAGGCTGACTTTGAACTCACAGCAATCTTCCTGCCTCAATCTGCCAAGTTCTGGGACTACAGCCATGTGCCGTGGCTTTTAATTAATTTATTTATTTAAATTTGCACTTCTGTGAAGGCTAAAAATATTGAGCATTTTTTGGCCATTTGTACTTCTCTTGATAATTCTGTTTTTTTGCCCTATTACTGATTTGGCCATGTGTATTTTTGGTTTAAGTTTTATGAGGTCTATTTCTTTATCAGAAGAGTAGCTAAGTAGTTAGCAAAGATTTTCTCATTCTGTAGGTTATCTCTTCACTGTTGATTTGTTTCCTTTGTTGTGCAGAAGCTTTGTAATTTGATGTAGTCACATTTGGTGATTCCTGATACTATTAAGGAAGTCTTATTTTATATCTCATTTTATTTTATTGTTTTGCAGTGCTAGAGATGGAATTCAGGGCCTTGTATGTGCTGGCTACTCTTCCACTGAGCTATATCCCCATTATCATTATTTTATGCCTTAGGTAGAATCAGGCCTATTAAATAAAACTGCAGATGTCATAGTGAAACCTTCAAAATGTTACAGAAGTCATTTTTACCTATTGCTGATCCTGTCCACATAATTAAACTGTTGCTCACACTGGGGGTATATCTTAGTGGTAGAGTACATTGAAGCCCTGGGTTGAATATCTTGTACTGTTAAAAAAAATTATAGCCTCAAATAATAGCGGGTTAATAATATCCCCTAGTTATTGTGGGCTGATCAGGTGTGCAATCTTCCAAATGAGTGTACAGCAAAGGCTCAGTAGAGGCTCATTTGCCTCAAAGAGGCAAATGGCGTGATTGCAGGGCTCACTAGGAGAATCAAAACCCTCTCACAGAATTCGAGATTCTCTCAGGGCGAAGATCAAGACCTTCTCTGGGTGGCCTGTATTTATTTAGTTATCAGAAGAAGGGAGGGGGAATTACTCAGAAGGGCAGAATTACTCAAGGACTTGTCCATATAAGGTATTAAATTAATCCTTAATAATGATTAAGTTAATCCATCCAGGAGTGATATGCCTGAGGCTATAGTCTATAATCTAGTTGAGATTGATCCAGGTGTCCTTGGCTGTGATCTTATTTTAGCCTTTGAGGCTTTCCTGCTTCATCTGCCTTTACCAGTTTTAGTAGGGATTGGTGACTCACAGAGGTTCACTTATCATGAGTCTGTGGCCCACTTCCAGACAAGCGGCCTAGGCTTTGGACAAATTCACAAGTAAACATAAAAAGCAAATTGATTAATTTAAGTCCTGCTCAGGGCTGCTTTGTAGTGATCTCTATCAAAATAAATTTTAAATGAGAGAATTAAAAGTTTCTCTGATGCTTTTTCAAAGAAAAAATAGGATGAAATGTGAAGATTCAGTTATACATTCTGCTTCATTTAACCATTTTATATTATATCTTTTTATGGTTAAAGTTTGAAATAGATATTGGAAGATTTAAAAATTTTTTTAAATTTCTGAAATCAATCTATTTTTCTTTCACATCTTAGTAGACCCTTGGATTTGGAAGGTCCCTGGGTGATTCTCACTCTGCCTTCCCTCTAATGCAGGTCCCTCACATCTCAGCATTCTCAGCAGGCAGTTCATCCAGCTTCTGCCAAAATGTTTCTCAAGACAAGTAGCATTCTAATTTTAATCATTGGTACAGGAGTAACTTTGACAGTTCTAAGACTGGATTTTAGAGATTTAATTTGCTGTGATAGCCATAATCTTGAAGTTTTTCTTCAAAATGATTTGGAACTTCGTTAGGAAATATTTTAAGTATTGGATTTCTGATTTCTGAGTTTTTTGACTCTTTGGAGGAAAATAGAGAGTTTGAATAACATTTAAATATAGATTTAAATGGCTACAGCATAACTATGAGTGATTCCATAGTCCTGAAAAAAAAAGTGGACTTAACATCCCTACATTCAATTATGATCTTAAGGTCTTTCTCCTTTGTAAACTAAATTTTATTTCAGCAAAAAAAAATTCCGTACTTCCTTTACACTATTTCTGATTTTTAAACATAATAGAGTTCTCCTCCTATTGGATTAAAAAGCTACCATGGTAGTAATATATTTAGTAAATAGGGTAGATTCAATTAATCCAAATTAAATATATCCATATGCTGTTGAAATTTTATGAACACATATAATCATAAAAGATTAGCATAAAAAAAGCATTTTAACTATAACACTGTATGTAATATTTGTTCTCTTATACATATTATTTTCCTTTTAATACAACTTGTATTTTTTATCTTTAATAATACTTTCTATATAATCATCTGTGTTTTTGTGCCATCACTGTAGTACTTACTGCATGACAGTCCACTAAATAAAAATACTTCAAATATGTTGAAGCAGTCCTCAATATTGATCACTTAGATCCCTCTCCCCATTTCTTACATAGTTTTCACAACCATCTTAATAAAAAGACTTTTTTTCCTTTTGAGCTCTTTCCCTCGGATAAGTTTATTTTTCTAGGAAATGTGTTAAACCATAAATTTCTGTGTGTAATTTTGTCTAGGATTTCTCCAGTGATGATTCTAAGTTAGAATACAATGTAGACGCTGCAAATGGCATCGTCATGGAAGGATATCTGTTCAAACGTGCCAGTAATGCCTTCAAAACATGGAACAGGTAACATAGTTCAAATACTAATCCTGTACCTTCTGGATTTGCAGATTCTGACTTTCCCTTTGATTTGGCGGCTCTTTTCTTGATAATTCTCTAAATTCTGTAAATTCTTGGAGTCCGCTGCAAAGATTGCTCTTAGAAGCAGGGTAAAAATGAAGACATTAATTCTTGATTCTAAAATGTAAGCAAGGTTTAAAGGAAGCAGTGAAGAGAATTTCTGTAATTCTTGGTCTATGGGGACTTTTGAATGTGAACTGCCTGTCATTTATTACAAAGTAGACTGTGGAAAAATTGTATGTTGAATATAATTGATAAATAGAATAAATGGGCTTTTTTTCTTCTTTCACTTCCTCCCTTATCTGATGTTTATGTACAGTTCTACTGGCATTTGCTTATGAATTGTTAAACAGGGTGGCCTGAAAGCTTGGTCTTTGTTTATTTATTTATTTTTGGAACCAGGAATTGAACTAAGGACCTTGCGCTTGCCAGGCAGGCACTGTGCCTCTGAACTACATCCCCGGCCCAGTCTTTGTAATAACTGTAATTAATTAATAACTTAAACAAATGGGACTGTTTTCAAGTGGGATGTTACGGCAATTGTTGCTCCTTTATTCTAAACTTGATGACTACCAAAAATTTTGAGTTTTTGTTAAACTAATTTTATAAACTATAAATTCACTATATGTCTGTTAAAGAATGAACACATGAAGTGTTTTATTGTATTTCTTTTTACTGATAAATTGTAATAATTTCAGACCGTAAAACATCAAAAAAATTGTGTGGCTCAGGAGCACTGTTGTGAACATTAGTGATGAATCTTATTCAAAGATACCTCATTTTTTCAAAAACAAAAAAAAAATCAGAAAAATTTTATAATAATTAGAATACCCCTGATTAATTGATTTTCTATATTATTGTTGGTTGAAATGTGTATATTTTATTGCTTGAACAGGATATGAATTTGTCTAATGATAGAGAAGGTTGATTTTGTATTTTTTAAAAAAGACATTAGCAAAATAAATAGAAATTTCTTGGTAAGCTTAAGTTAGTATATATTTTTGTAAAATGAAATGAAAACATTCATTACTTTATTGAAATAGGTTCTTAGTGCACTTATTTTGATTTCTCTGTTGAGGTTATAGAGAAAAGCAGTAATATTTCCAAATATCTGATTTATTGAGCATTTCTCTAGCTTTTGATATTGATGAATGTTTAAAAGGCACGTAGTTTTATTTGAAATAATTTGTTCTTACCCAAGGATGAATATAAAATAAAAAGAACAATGATTATCTTAGGTATTAAGTCTCTTCAAGTTAGGTATGTAGAACTTTAAAAATATATATAATAACAAATAGAGGCGAACCAAGTGACCTGATGAGAAATAATGTTTCCAGTTATTATATACTAAAAGTAAAAAATTAGAATTGTTTTCTAGCCTCTAAAAAATTAAGACAATAATCTTTTAAGGCTACCCTGGCAATTTCTTTAGCTAGAGTAGGAAATACTATGATTGGTGGATCTTTATAATAAAGATTACTCAACCAGTACAATTTTATGATGTAATATTAGATTGAATTTTAACCTTCAGATTTCAAAACTACCTCCTTAAAGTTTACCAAAATGAAAATATAATAAATCCATAGAAACATACCATTATGTTAAGAAGAAAAGAAATGAACCTCCATGGACTACATCAGTGAGAAATGATCTCAGACTTCAAAATGAAGCACAGTAAGTGTTAGTGGAAAATTATGCTGCTGTTTAGGGCAGTAGGAAAATACTAATTTCGGTTTAAGCATGAACCTTTTCGTTTCTTACTTGTTTTATGAATTCTATTAATTAACACATATTAAATGTAAATAAAATCAAGTTGGATATAACTGTTAAATCCTCAGCTGTAGACATGTTATTGCCATCTGCAACAGGAAAAAGAGACTGCCTTTGGAAATTAGGCTTTTTAAAAGAGATGCCGCTTGTATGTAGTGAGACGAGAGTTACTGATCAGAACCATAACTTGCAGCTTGTATAAGTTACCTTTCTTGTTGCTGATCACAATATGTGACACCTATAACTTAAAGGAAAGAGGTTTACTTTGGGTTACAATTCAGGGGATTCAGTCCATGGTTGTCTGGCGTCAAGGCAGAAACTTCATGGTAGAAGGGCATGGCAGAGGACAGTTGCTTACCCCATGGCAGCCTGAAACCAGAGAGAAAGGGGAGGAAGCAGCTCTAAGAATACTCCCTTCTAGGTCATGCTCCCAGTGACTGCCTCTTCCCACTTGGCCCCATTTCCCAGCAGCATATTCAGTTATGAATTCATCAATGGATGAATCCACTGACGTTGCAGCACTGCATGCCTGATCCAGTCACCTTATAGAAGCCCCACCTCTGAACACATGGTGCTTTGGGGGGAACATTTTAGATCTAAGTCATAACATAGTAGAATACCCTAATTTTCAGTAAAGAAATGAAGTTTTAAAGGATGGTCAGAAAAGAGATTTATTTGGCTCACAGTTTTAGAGGCTGAAAGTCCAATATTGTGTGGCCTCTGGTGAGGGTCTTACAGTGGATGGCATTACAGCGGCAGAAGTGTGTATAGAGGAGCTCATATGGTAAGACTGGAAGGGAGAGAGTGGGAAGGGGTCAGGCTTCTTTTATAATGGTCTCTTCCCCTGGGAACTGACTTGACTGTTAGACTAGTGTGAATCCCTTCTATAGGCTGTGTCTTCTGTGACCTCAGTACCTAGCACTAGGCTCTAAGGACTAAGTCTCCAACCCATATATCGTTGGGACACAGATCATATCCAAACCATAGCAGTAAGGAATTATAAAAATAGGGAGAAGAAGAGTACTCTCTTAAATGTTGTCTTAGTTACAGTGCTTGCTTCATTTCTGGGACAAAATACCCAACACTCATAATTTTAATGAGAGGGTTATTTTGGCTCACAGTTGGTAGAGGTTTTAGGCCATAGTCGCCTGGCTCCGAGGCAGGGCGGCCTGGTAGGCTGGTATTGTAGGGCAAAGTGGTGGCAGGAAGCAGAGAGAGAATAAAAGGAGCACGGGGAGGAGTAAACCTTTCCGGGACCTGCCCTCTTGGGCCACCTCCTGTGAGCAGACCTCACCTCCCAGCAGCACATCAGCACTAAATCCCACGTCCAGTCCAAAGCCTGGCCTATGAGTTCATGAGGTTTTGGAGGACATTTTAGATATAAACAGTAACAAATGTCATGTAAAGTTTTTTCTGTGTTATTATTAAAAATTTATAATGTATCTAAATTTCTTAAATGAGGTTTTCCAAAAATCTAATCTAAGGAAGTACTTACCAGTAATTTCTTTTTACCCATGTTTGGCTTTGCATATGCCCTACTTCTCTAATAAGTTCTCCATCCAGCTTACTTTATTGTATTCTGCTGACCTGTGAATAAGACTATGTTAGTGATATTTATGCCTTTCACAACTCCAGGAATCTAATTATTCATATGTGAAGATTTTTCTGCACACTGCTGAAGTATTTTTTTAGATTGATTTGTTACTTTTAGGGAAAGTATGGTGGTATACTCACTGTAAGGTAACAATCACATAACCATACATTTCTGTGGTCTGTACTTTTACGGCATTATGCCATTATATTTTTAAATATCAACTTAATGATTGATTGATTGTCTTTTTGAGCTAGGATCTTGCTATGCAATTCAGGCCGGCTTTGAGCTCACTTTGTAGCTTAGGGTAGTCTCGAACTGGCAACGATCCTCCTGCCTCAGCCTCCCAAGTACTGGGATTCCAGGCATGCACCACCATGCCTGGCTTAAATATCAATTTTTAAAAAAGACTTTCTTCCGGGGGGATATGTGAATGTGACTGAGAATTTCTTAATAGTTTTAGAACTAACTTTACCCCATGCTTCATAAATTAGAAGTTTGTTTTAAAAACTGAGGTATAATCTGAAATCAACAGAATAGCTCTATTTTCTGTAATATAATATGAAATTAACAGAATAGCTCTATTTTCTGTAATATGATTCACATAGAATAAGGAATGAAAAATTTTATATCTCATATGGATTGATTGGTTTCAGACTTCCATTTTGTGATATCTCAAAACTACATACATCTGAATAAATTGTCCTTCATATAGATGGATTTCACATCAATGGCTCCAACCAACCACAGATCAGAAATACTTAGGAAAACAATTACGTGAAACATCTACAGATCTTTTCTGTTGTTATTGTTCCTTAAACGATGAAACATAACAATGCAGCCTAGTATTTATGTTATGTTAAGTATTATAAGTAATTTAGAGATGTTTTAAAATATGTGGGAGAGGGGCTGGGGATTTAGCTCAGCGGCAAAGGCACCTGCCTGGCAAGCGCAAGGTCGTGAGTTCGGTTCCCGGTACCGGAGAAAAACCAAAAAAAAAAAAAAAAAAAAAAATACGTGGGAGAGCACAGTGCAGTGGCATGTGCCTGTAGTATAGCTACTCTGGAAGCTGATGTGGGATAGTTGCTTGACTTTGCTCTTTGAGACCAGCCTGGCAAGACATCATCTCCTTTAAACAATTTTAAACAATGGAAAAGCTGGGCATAGTGCCCTGTCTGTAACCGCAGCACTCTGGGAGGCTGAGGCAAGAGACTGTAAATTTGAGCTTTAGTCTGGGCAACTTAGGGGCTTCGTGAGACTCTATCTCAATAAGAGGGGGGAGGGGATGTATCTTAGTGTGAAGGCCCTGGGATCAATCCCCACTACCATAAAAAAAGGGAAAAAATGTATATTTATACATAAATATATATATATACTTTACATATACACACATGAGGATGTGTATAGTTTATATGCAAATACTATACTGTTTTATATGAAGGACTAGAGCACCTACTGATTTTGATACCTACTGGGGCCCTTGGACCGATCTTCCACAGATAACAAAGGGTCACTATGTATATTCTTCTGAAGGTATAAAGTCTGCCACAACGATCTTTTCCTATCAGGTCATTTTTTCAGTGTGGCGGCTTCGTTCCAGGCTTAAGTTAATGGGCTACTAGAACTTTATTTTTTGCTTCTCATAATTTGGAAAAGTGATTAGCACAGAAAATAAATGTTAGGATAATTTAGTAATAATTTGGAAAGCTAATAAAAGGGCTGATGTCATTGTTGCAATAGAAAAATATAGTGAAAAGTGTAAAATGTGTTAGGCAGTTTTTACAAAAACAGTATTCTATATCCTGCTGGTATAGATATAAATGTTTTGTTTTTATTGGCTGTTTTTTAAAAAATAAGTGTATATGTAGATAGAGGATGGAACTACTCATCATACGGGGCCTTTAGACTCTGCTGTTGTTTGATGAAGAGAGGGAAGTACCGGTGGGAGCCTTACTCAGCTCGTATTTTGTCTTTGAAATTCTGAATTAATGACCTTACCTTCCTTATGAAAAGGTTTTGTCCTAGATATATGTATATATACCTGCAGTGTTTATTTCTCTTACTTTTTCGAGCAGCTTATTAATTATGACAAGGTATTCGCTATATTTTATAGTCATGACCTTAGAGGCAGAAAATAATAATAGAAATATGCCTAGCTATGCTAAGTCTTCCTCCTAGAGCTTTTTATAAGATAACTCTTGATGCAAATTTTTGAATGTTTCCAAAATATTAGCATTTCATACGCCTGAGTTGGAGTGAATTCTACAAATGCACATATATAATAAATAAATAAATTGAAATAGATACTTTTGACTATTTTGGTAGGTGATAAGCTTGAGCTTGTTCCTTTGATTCTTGCTTTATTTTCGTATCATGCTAGTCCTCTGCTTGTTTTGCACATTTGCGTTTTTCATTCTTTTACCGCCTTTCCCTTATGTTTTAATCCTGCCCCATTTTTTCACATGACAGGAAAAAGCCCGATCATATCAGGTACCAAATGGCTTCCTTCCCTTCACCCTCATCTTGTTCCAGTTTCCTCTTTGGCACGAGAGAGCTCATATTAACCTGCATTTCTGGTTGATTACTTGCAATGGATAAAATGTCTCTTTATGTTTTAAATTGGAAAGAAGATATAAATGTTTTATTTGAGGAATGGAATTACACCTTCTAATTACCCATCTTGTCAATTTATTTTAATCTGTAAAAGAACATTTGATGTTCTTATAATTACTCGAAGAAGATGCAGACTGAGTAATATTATCTTTACATCTTTTTTTTTAAACAAAGGAAATATAGTAGCAAACTTTAAAAATTTGAGGAACAGCTACAATTAGTACCTTTGGTAATAATCATTAATTATGTTGAAAGAATACATTGTCAGTTCCTAAGTATGTGGAACTTTTGTGAATATATACATGAACCCATCATTTTATAGTTTCAGTGGTAAACTTTCTGTAAATTTTGTGAATTTGACCTACTCATGTTCCAGATTTCAAGTACAGTTCTGGAACTAGTGATTAAATGTGGGAAAAGATTATATAATATATGTGTATTAGAGTCTGCCAAAGATGCATACACACTCCAGAAAAAGAAAAATACGTATAAATATTTGAATACGTATAAATATTTGAATACTAAATTTGAGACATCATGAGATTAAAACAAGTTACCTTTGGCCTTTACAATTACAAGAGGTGCTCAAAGTGGTGGTCATTAACTTCTAGACAATTATTAGTGCAGCGAACTGCTGCTTGGGTCACCTTGGCCATTGACATTGTTCCACATGCATTTTTAATTTCTTCTCTGAGGGCCAGAAGTACGGTAGATTTTCTGCGATCTCTGACATCTTCTAGAGTCCCTGGTCTGAAGCTAATGCCGTCTGTTGTAAAAAAAAAAAATCAGACTTTTTCTTCTCCTGATGTGTGTGTACCTTTTTGGGCAGACTCTATAGATTTCCTTTCTTGCCTCACTTTGTAATCTGGAAGCTTTGATTACATATAGAAATTAATTGTATTTAATTTTTTATGAATTTAATATTCTGGTTTAAAATATACTGAATATCTTTAAGTTGAGATAGATATAAAATGCTGTCTTTAGTTTTCTTAGCAAACCACAAAGTTTCCTTTTTCATAATTGTCTTAGGGTTTGGCTTTGTGCTCAGTTTCTTCTTTGTTTTTTTTGGTACCGGGAATCGAACTCAGGACCCTATGCTTGCCAGGCAGGCACTTTTGCCAGTGAGCTATATCCCTGGCCCCTCAGTTTCTCAGTCTTGTATAGTGTAGTATTTTTGGCACAGTGCTTTCTAAGGTTTGTCTCTTTGGATCTAAGTATTTTTTTCTTCTAGTATTTTGAAATTTTAGGTACTAAGGGCTTAAACTATTAACTTTCCTTCCCTGTATTCTGCAGGCCATGATCTGTTTGTCTTACTTTGCTCTTTCTTAGAAATGTTAATAACTAGGATTATTCTATAATTACAAATTATATTCCATTTTATGTTCCTGATTAAAATGTTGGCCAGTGTTAGATGAGTGTAGTTTTTTTTTAAATGTTTAATGGGAGTGCAGGGGAGACAGTGTTATAAGACATATTTTTGTAATTAAAAAAAATTTTCCAACTGTGGTCTATTACATGACTTTTTTCTGTATTAGAAATCAAATTAAGATGAATTTGTATTGTTTTTGCCAAGAGTACAAAAACTGATAATGTGAGAATGTTACCCAGAGGCAGATAAACAGCAGGGGAAGTGGGCTTCAGAAATATGTATGATCTGTAAAGTTGTCATCAGAGGGAATAGGTTCTGACAAAAAGACCCTAAGTTTTTATCTAGTGTTTTATTATTATTTTCAGAGGATATTATCCTAAGGTGCAGTAGGTCAAAAGAAAGTATTTTTTGAAGACCTCAGAAGCATGAAAAGTTAGCATGATTGTATGGGTGCTTTTCCATTTTTCAATAAAACTATAATTTTCATCAAATCATATAATATTATTGCCATAATACAAAGTCTGTGAATCCTTATTAATATACTTCAGCCTCCTTCAAATGATTTTTTTAAAAAAAGAAACACTTTAATCACATCAGAGATCATATCCATTGCATGTCATCCCACGTGGCAGGGCTGCACCATTTTGTTTGTGTGTAGGGAGTTTAACATTTCTAACAGCTGTCTCTGCAAAGCAAAGACACCCAGAAGTTCTTCCTTTTCTAGGGTGCCTCTGGATGATTTGCATTTAGAGGCAACCCACCTTGTTTTATCTAGATGCTTACTTTTAAGTGGCAAGAAAACCTAACGGTCTCTAGTAAAAGGATTAAATATGATCTCCTTATTTTCTAGCTTTGGAGAAGTAACCAAATTGTTAGGAATAGAAATTCTAAAAGTCTAAATATAATTTTTAGTACTTTGTATTAGCATCAATGAAAAGGTAGAATATCTGCTAATAGATTAATAACTAATATTTATAATGAAATCATTTCACATAAAACTAATTTTAAAGTAATGACTCATATTGTTTTACCTTTCATGCTTGATGAGAAGTTTTGCTTCCTTTTATGAATGGCTTTTGGCTGTGATTTTTTTCTAAGTCTTTAGATCTTTGTTGTTTTAATATATTGGAATTAGTATGACATACATAGTTAAGCCTTCTTTTCTAAAGAAGATTGCGAGTAAATTGTTTTTCTAATGATTTAAAACAATGAGCAGAACTGCAAAAACAGTTGAGTGAATCATTTGTAGTAAGAACTTTGATTATTTTGCTTAGAAGTATTTTATATGAAAATAGGGCAAGTTAACTTGATTATTTCCTGTTTGGTAAAATTCAAATTGATTGGTTTTCTGTTTTGCTTATTAAATCAAGCACTTGCTAAATTATCTACCAAAAGATTGAAAAAGCACCACTTACCTTAATGTTTAATTGACACAAATGGATATTTTTATTCACAGTGTACATTTACTTTAACTTTACAATAAGAGTAACTGTTTTGAGGGAAAGATTACAGTTATTTCAAGGAACCTAAAAATGATAAATTTGTACTTTAAAACAATTATTTGGTGATAGTGTAAAAATAACACCTTTTGTAGGGATGTAAATTTATGATATAAAATGAAACAAAATATACTAATTTTGTTTTCCTAATCTGTGGTTTTAAAATATGTATTCTTAATTTTAGTAGCTACTTCATATTATTATCAGTTTATATAAAGCAAAACAAGACAATGCACTTCTCAATATAATTACCATAAACTGATTTTTGAATGCTTCCTCAAATACTTCATCTCTGCCAACAACAACAGTACCTTATGTTCATGAAGACGTAATCTGTTTTATCTTTATTTAGACGCTGGTTTTCAATACAGAACAATCAGCTGGTTTACCAGAAAAAGTTTAAGGTAGGTATTTAATTAAGTGAAAACCCAGTGAGTCCCCAATACTTATTCTTTATCTGTCTTATTAAACACTGAAGTCCAGAAATGCTCATCTGCAAAATTCCTGTCTTCGCTGTTCGTTTTCTGTGTGGGCATGTATACAAGACTGGAGTGGAAGCAGCAGCATTTGATCCTTAAAGGTGGAGTGATTTCCAGCCCTAGCTTTTTCATTCCAAGCCTTGAGATAGATTTTTCTGTGCCCCAGAGTTATTTCTCAGTGTGTTCCTCTGTCTGTGTGGCAGGAATCCACCATTCTACAGTAGTTCTTGAAACTGAAGCAGAGTATGCCTTTTAAGGAATAACCATTTTAGGACCAACAGTGATAATATAGACAGGGTAAAAATGACATTAATTAAAATGTAAACTCAAAGTAATTTAAATGGAACCTCCTTAATTTACTAATATTGTATTCATGTTTGTTTTCCTGAACTTTATTTCAAGGGTTGAATATTTTATATATTAGAGTTACTTATAATTTGAGAATATTAAAAATTGTTAGAAAAAAGAACCATTTGTAACTGATGACTTGGTTTTCACTTAGTTAGCCTTTGTAAATGATGTTTGGTAGACTATAAATGTTAAATATCCGCTTAACTCTTGAGATGACATAATGTGAAATTTTACATGCTAGGTCCTATATTGGCAGGTCTGTTTCTTATAAATTCTTTAAGTAAATTGTTTATGGTTTCTTCTACTCTGATAAACTTGGTTTTGAGTTAACATTCTTATTAAGTAGTAGAACCATTCTCTTTAAAGGAATTTTAGAAAGGATTTATAAACATGTTTGAGAGTTTTGTTTTAATATAGGCTCTTGCCTATGTAGCTTAGGATGGTATTGAACTCATTATATAGTCCAGGCTGACTGTGAACTCTTGGTTGTCTTCCTCCTTCAGCCTCCCAAGTGTTGAGATTACACATGCACCATCACACCCAGCTGCAGTTTTAAAAACATGATTCGTTAAAGGCTTCTCTTTGGAGGAAAATAGCTTTTGTTATACATGAGTAGAGATCAAGAGAGTAGTGGCTCTGAATGAAAATGGAAGAGAACTAAGAGGGAGCCAACATTTATTGAATATGCTAAGTATGGAGCATTGACCAAGCTCTATATAAATTACTTCATTAGTAATTTTGAGAGTCTCAGAATTACCTATATTCATTATATCTAGCTCAGTAACCCCTATCTGTGTTTGCAGTAAGGTAATATAAATCTTTAAATTAGACCAAAGTAAAGTTGGTGGTATTTAAAAATACGTTGGTAAATATGGAAACTTTGCATCTGTTTTGCAGGATAACCCCACAGTTGTAGTTGAAGATCTTAGGCTCTGCACAGTGAAGCACTGTGAAGACATAGAAAGACGATTCTGCTTTGAGGTGGTCTCTCCCACGAAGTAAGTATTTCTGAGGAGCTTGAGAATTGCTTTCATATTTCTATAGTTTGTCTTAAAAGAACTTTCCAGTGGGGCTGGGGATTTAGCTCAGCCGCAAAAGCGCCTGCCTGGCAAGCGCAAGGTCGTGAGTTCAGTTCCCGGTACCAGAGAAAAACCAAAAAAAAAGAACTTTCCAGAATAGAGAAATTTGCACTTACAACCGTCTGTGCTAAATAAGAAAAAAAGTGTTTTAAAAATAAATTTTAATAATTAATGACTATAGCTATTATAGACATAATAACATAAGTTCCCACCTGTATTATATTCTTTAAATTCTATAAAGGTTATTTATGTGCCCATGTGAAAAATTTTTCACTGTGATGATGGACTAAAATCATATATCAGATGAATTGCTTTGAGAACTATAATGTTATAAAATCTTGGCACTCTGCAAGGCTGAGGCAGGAAGATCAAACTCAGCCTGGGCAGCTTGGTGACAAGACATTGCCTCAAAAATAAAAAAATTAAAATGGCTAGGGATATAGCTCAATGGGAAGGGCTTAGGTTCAAACTCCAGCACTGCAATCAGTCAATCAAGAAAAAAGAAGGCTTTGTTCATATGGTAAATTTAAGAGTTTATTTAAATTTTTAATGTGCAAATTAATTTTCAGGAGATAATTTGTTTCATTGGTATCCTGATTTTTTTCTTGAACATATATTGTCTAAAAGATTGATGAAATTAAATTGTTTTCAATAGAAATTAATTTTTGCTAGAAAATTATTAAATACTAAAGTGAGCCAAAAAAAAAGCTTTTGGGCTTGCTTTTTTTTCTGGTCTGAGAAAACAATGTTATTTTCTTTTAGAAGCTGTATGCTCCAGGCAGATTCCGAAAAGCTTCGGCAGGCGTGGATTAAGGCTGTTCAGACCAGTATTGCAACTGCTTACAGAGAGAAGGGTGACGAATCAGAGGTCAGTAGAGGTACTATCAATACCAAGTAATATATTGCCAAGAGTTTTTCATTTTAGTTGGGTTGCTATATGATCATAGCACCTTTTATGTGATAGTTTTATATCATTGAAGTGTTTTTTTTGTTTTGTTTTTGTTTCTGTTTTTTTGGTATTGGGAATCAAACTCAGGACCTTGCCCTTGCCAGGCAGGCGCTTGTGCCACTGAGCTGTATCCCTGGCCCCTTGAAATGGGTTTTAAAAGTCATTCAATTTTTCTTATTTCTGTTAATTTTACTTATCATTTTATTTTAATATTTGAATATATGTCCCAGATTGGAGTAACATATTCTGATGTTGGTGTTTTTTCCCTATTTGGAAATATTGTACTATTTAATAATAAAATAATTATCATGAAATGTTTTTAAAAATTAAAATTGAATAAAAAGCAAAAACAGCTGGGTGTGGTATTATATGCCTGTAATCCCAGCACTTGGGAGGCTGAAGCAAGAGGATCACTGAGAGTTTGAGGCCAGCCTTTCTCCAAAAGAAAAAAAAGAAAAAAAAAAAGCAAAGCAAAACAAAAAGCATAATACTGTCCCTTAGTTGAAGCCTCTTTGTTTGTTTGTTTGTTTTTTGTCCTTTTGAGACAGGGTCTCACTTTGCAGCTCAGACTGGCCTTGAGCTCACTTGGTAGCCCACGCTGGTCTCAAACTCACAACGATCCTCCTGCCTCAGCCTCCCAAGTGCTGGGATTACAGCCATGTGCCACCACGTCTGGCTGAAGCCTCTTTGGAAAAGATAAACTGAATATGTAGTTTTGTGTGCCGCTGTGAAGGCAAAGCTTCTGAGTGAGCCGTTGGAAATGCAAGTTATTACTGTTATGTCCTCTGGTGTAGCTGAGGCATAGGCTTGTGATAGTCAACTAACAAATACAGTCAGGAGATGGAGTGTTCTCTGAGTTGTATTTCAAAACTCATGGCCAACTTATAGCTCTCAATAGGTTGAAGCAGAGCTCTTCCTAAGCAGGAACTGGGGTACTCACTTAATCCAAGTAGTGAGGCACTGAAGAAACAATAGGAATTTCAGCAGCAGCCAAGGGATACAGATGGTGGGAATGTTGACAAAGGGCTTTCTGGTGAAGATAGCCCCCAAAATACTTGTCACCTGCATCACACTTCTCCAGCCTAGATCAGTCATGCCCTAATCTTGCACTATTGCTAATAGTCTGGGATTTCCTTACATAATCATTTTTGGAGATTCTGCTCTTTCTTGTGTCCTGTGTCTTTCTAAGAATCCTCTTGACTTAAGAAAAGCTTCCAGTATCTTCCTGAAAGTGAGTGCATACATGCCCAAGAATGTTTTTATTCTGTCCTCACATTTATTTGATAGTTTGGCTGAGTGTATTTTTAGGTCAGAAATAATTAACTTTAAGAAGTACAACAGTATTCTGTTCTCCTCCCCTCCTCTTTTCCAGTGCTGCTGTTGGAGCTTTTTATTACTGATCTTTTGTATTTTTCCTCTTCAATTTTTGTTTTTTCTTTATAGCATTTCTGGACTGTATTAGGATTTTCTATGTGTGTATGTGTGTGTTTTCTTTGCTCTACTTCCTAGGAAATCTTCCTAGTTAATCTTCTAAACCTTCTATCGAATATTTCCATTCTGTTAACACAGTTTCCAAGTATTCCTCTTTGTTCACTGTTTGTACAGCTAAACCTGTTCTTTTGTCATAAATGTAATGTTGAGCTATTCTTAATGTTGACTTATAGTAACACATAGAGACTTAAAAACTCCCAGTGCTTAGGTCTTATGCCAGGACAATTAAATGGAATTGGGACACAGGCATTACTATTTTTAAAAGTTTCCTAGGTTTCCATGAACAAGCAAATTTGAGGACCACTGTGGTAGAGATTGTCCTTGGCTCATGATTATAAGTTAAGGCTACAAGCCTTTTGGAACTTCTAGGCACGTAGTTGAGACTTTGTTGATTGTAAGATACACCCAAGTCTGGACTGTTCGTTTACAACCACTGGAATTAGGATCTTTGGAGACTTTCTGGCTGTGTGATTTTCCAGGGAAATTTGCTTGATCTCCCACATAGGGGTGAAGGGCTGGTACAAATGTAAGTATTGGATATCTCTTGGTGGGGGTACCAGAAATCAAAGTCAGGACCTCATGCTTGCCAGGCAGGCACTGCACCACTGAGCTGTATCCCTGGCCCCAAGTGTTGGATATCTTAGCATTCAGTACGTGTATGTTAACTCTGTTTCCTGCTTTTCACCTGTCACGTGAACCCCATCCAGAGACTGTTTTGTTGCTCCAGAGAATAAACTTTGAGTCCTTTCATGTTCTTGTGTACAGAGAGCAGCCAACTAAGAGTGGGAGGTTGAGGAGGAGCCCTGAGATCTGTTTCTGAAGCAGTCATTCCTTCTACTTTCATTTTTAGTGCTATATTCTTTGGGGTGGCTTCCCCAGGTTATGCTGTGTTAGCATACTTAGCTGTTAGCTTCTCTAATTTGGTGCAAAAATGTTAGCACATAGAAAAGAATTGGGTTGCTGGGCATGGTGGCACACACCTATAATTCCAGCACTTGGAGGCTGAGGCAGGAGGATTGTCACAAATTTGAGGCCAGCCTTGGCTATATATTGAGTTCAAGGCCAGCCTGGACTATAGAGTGAGATCCTATCTCAAAACAACAACAACAACAAACAGTGAACAATTGGGAATGAACCAACACATGATTTCTGCATTATAATACTGACATTATAATACTGATTTTTTTATTTTTATAACTGTGAGCTAATTTCACATTCTCAAGCATGTACTGATAAAACAAGACAATTCTTTAAAAAATTTTTTGGAAATAATCTCAAGCTTATCTGGAAGTTCCAGGTACGGTACAAGTAACTTTCTTTCCCTAAACTACTTGAAAGTGAGTTGCCAACATGATTGTCTATCACCCATTATTCCCATTCGTACAACCTATGCCATTCTCCTGTACAGTCAGGTTTGTAAGGTTGTCAAGTTAAGATGTGAGCCTGATAAATTGCTACCATTTAATTCCCAAACATTCCAGTTTAACAGTTGCCCCAGTAATGTTCTTTACAGCAAAAAGCTTTAGAAGCACAAGTAGCATTTGGTTGTAATGTTTGTTTAATCTGCTTCATGCATGATTTGTTCTTCACTGTTATCTTCATCTTCTTGAGCTTGATAGTTTTGAAAATTCCATACTATTTAGTAGAATGCTCCTCAGTTTGGGATTATTTTGCCATTTACTCATGAGTGTAAGGTATCATTAAAAATATAGTGACTGTTTCAATTTAAAAACTTTATTAGAAAGACACATTGCCATGAATCCCTCTCAAAATACTCTGCCTCTCTTTGAACAGACTTTTCCCACTGTTCTTAACACTTTCTGAAGTGGTTCTGGAAGTGCTCTTTCTTGAGTGTTGTAGTGTTGTGGCTGTCTCGATATCCTGAATTTATTCAAAACATTTCCCTTTCATGGTCATTTTGACTTTGGGGAAGAGCCAGAAGTCACACAGTGCCAGATCCAGTGGATGAGGTGGATGAGGAACACTGTGATGTTTTTATTTGACAGAAATTTCTATAAACATTTTGAATTGATTCAGGACATTAAGGCAGCCACAAAAAGACACTCATGAGAGAGGACTTTGAGAAATGCTTTAGAAAATGGCAAGAACAATGGATAAATGTATTTAAAACAAGGGGAGTATTTGGACGTGGTGTTTTCTGTATTCTTTGGATTCAGCCCTGCTGATCTTTGAATACTTCTTTACTTGTCAGCAAGACATGTTCATCTTCTTACGCTTTCTTTTCACTGGCCATGAAATTAGCCATTTCTCCAAAGAAGCCTAGTTCCTTTTAGTAGAGAATGATATAAAACAAGATAAGATTTATAATATGCATGTATCTATTTATGTCTGTTTTATCTGTTCATATTGTAGACCATTAGTATGCCTATTGATATCTCTAGTTCTAATTTAATAATAGCAAGATTTAGTATAGTATTCCTTTTTCTTATAAATAACTCCTTTTTCTGCAGTAAGAAATTTAGCCCCCCCATTGATATTTGTTTACTTTATGATTTATCCCTCTGTACTAGTACCCTGTCTCTGCTGCCACTTGCTCCCAACTTTGTTCTGCCAGCTGTGCACCAATATTTTTACCCCACTTGTGCTCTGATACCTCCCACTAGGTACCTGGTCCTCCTCCTCACAGGCCCTCCTCTCCCTACCCAGGCTCCTGTTTTCCTTGCCGTACTGCCTCCCTAAGCAGACATCCTCACCTGCTGTGGGATCCGGGACCCTGCACAGGGTTGTGCCCTTGAGTAGACACATTTCTCATGGAGCTCATCTCTCTGAAACTTCCTGGGCCAGTCTAATAGCTGTGGAGTTGAGTTTTCAAAAAGGGCAGAACAAGAGCAAATTGTATTTCTAATTCAGTGCTAACTAACTGGTTTGCTAAGGTTGGAATGCTTTGAAACTAGAGACTTCATAGACTCAATCTTTAATCCTTTGAGTTTGTGAGCCATAGTTTTGTATTTGGTCATTATTGTCATATATAGAGAAATTCTTTTTAAATATTCTTTATTAGTAGTATAAATTGTGTTATGCACTTTAAAAATTTAACTTTTGCTTATTAGTCTCATTTACCTAATAGCCCTTGAAATTTTAGTCATTTTTTGTTTTCGTGTTGATTTTGTTCTGCAATTAAAATTATGTAGCTGATCTTTTAATATTTAACTATATAAGATTGTACTTTTAAAAATTTATTCACTACAGTAATTAAAATAACTTGCTTATAGTTAACTATATACCTTGGAAAACTGTGGTATGAAATAATATTTTATTATTGAGTCTTAATAGTCTCGTGTTTGCCTCTCACCCTGCATGTTAGTGTTTCCCCCTTCTCTCTGCCTTTTTTATCTTGCACATATGTTTGTTATGTCAGTTATATATATAGATATATAATTTTAAATATTTATATGTTTTTTTCCTCACTAGAGTAAAAGTCCATTGATACTTGGGCATGGTGGCTCATGCCTGTAATCCCAGTAGTTGGGAGGCTGAGGCAGGAGAATCACCATGAGTTTGAGACCAGCCTGGGTTACATAGTGAGTTCAAGGCCGGCCTGAACTATATGGCAAGACCCTGTCTCAAAAAAAAAACAAAAGCAGAACAAAGCCCAACAACAAAAAATAAAAGTCTGTTGATAGACTTCTATATCTTACTATTCTTTGATCTCCAGTGCTTAGAATAGTGCCTGACTTACTATGCTCATTATAGACAGTTAATTGGAAGCTTTTGTCTGGCATATGCAGCATGCAACATACTATTACAACTAAATAATTCTTAATTCTTTTAGAAGCTGGATAAGAAATCCTCTCCATCAACAGGAAGCCTAGATTCTGGAAGTGAGTCAAAAGAGAAATTATTGAAGGGAGAAAGTGCACTGCAGCGGGTCCAGTGCATCCCTGGCAATGCCAGCTGCTGTGACTGTGGCCAGGCAGATCCACGGTGGGCCAGCATCAACTTGGGCATCACCTTGTGTATTGAGTGCTCTGGGATTCACCGGTAGGTAGGCCTGCCCAGGGGGAGAGGCGTCTTTCATATGAACGTGTATTGTGTTCCATTTGTTACAGAACCTCATTTCTCCAGTGTAACTACCGGTTTGTATCTTTGTGCCTTTTATAAGTGGGTAAAATTCTGGTTTAAAAAGTGCTTTCAAGGACTTTTGTTCACCATCCATTGTTAATCAGATCGATCCCTATTTATGTGTGTTGATTGAGTCTATATTAGAGCCTGCACCACTTTAAAGAGAAAAATAATTTGCATAAATATACAAATAGAATAGAAACCTGATAGTTTTATATTAATAATGAAGTCCTTTTTCTCCCTCCACGTAGGAGTCTTGGGGTTCATTTTTCAAAAGTACGATCTTTAACTTTAGACACCTGGGAGCCTGAACTTTTAAAGGTAAAATAAATATTTATATTTGTATTCATATTTTCACATGAAAGTGAAGATGCTAGAGTTGGTGTTATGATTTGAATCCCCTAAAGCCTCATGTGTTTAAAAGGTGATCACATGGGGGAGCTATACTCAGCAGTGGACAGTCCATCCCCGCGTTCATGGGTGACTTGCTGCTGGAGGTGGGGCTGGGCAGAGGCCAGTCCCTAGGGGTGTGACCTGAAGGGTTCATCTCCCTCCCAGGCTGCCTCCTCCCTGCACTGTCTGCTTCCTAGCAGCTCTGATGGAGCAGCAGCCATGACCCAAGCGGCTATCCACTGTGGCCAGCCCCATCAGCAGCTGTGGACTGAAACTTCTCAAACTGTGAGCCAAAATAAACCTCTCCTCCTTTAAACTGTGGGTGTTAGGTATTTTGTCTCAGCAACAAGAAAGTGACTAAGACACTTAGTTTACAAATTTATGAGTTACTCATAATATTAGTCAGGTTTCTCACTGTTGAGACATTCACAATTTAGAGGAGAAGTGGTTTATTTTGGCTCACAGTTTAGTCCAAAGTCAGCTGGCTCCAGGCGGAGACAGAACGATGGAAGAGCCTGGCAGAGGAAAGCAGCTGAATTCATAGCAGCGAGGAAGCAGAGTGTGAAGGGAGAAGCTGGAGAGGTGGGTGTGTACTCCAGAGGTGCGACACACCTCTTCTGTGGGTCAATCCCATCACCTTCTGAAAGCCCCACCTCTGAGAAACAGACTTCTGGGGGACATTCTAGATCTAAACCATAATGTTCAGGTTAGCAATGAACTATGTTTCCCCGAAAATAAGACTGAACTGGAAAATAATGAGCTTTGAGAACTAGAGGTCAGAATTGCCAGCCCTAGTCAGCATATGCCTTACAGAGTAGCCACCAGACAAGAGAATATGATGGCAGGCAGATGAGGCAAAGATAGGTTGTTAGGGGCTGGCATTTTTGATCTCTGGTTTTCAAGACTGACTATTTTCCAGGTAGGTCTTATTTTTGGAGTAGTAGAGCACATCTGAGGCTATTTTGGCAAATCTGGTGTTTTCATGGTAGATTTTAAAAATTATTAAGTTTATATAGCACTCAACTCCAAGTCAGTTCACTTTTTAAGAAAACCAGCGTTTCTATATTTTTGTGGTTTTTAAAAGAAATTTAGATTCTATGTCATCTTTTATAATTAGAGTCTTACTAAAATTAATGAATTTATTGCTGTAGTAAACTCCGTAATGGATTATTTACATTTCCCATCCTTTATCCATGCCTCCTTCATATGTATAAAAAATGTCATAAATAATTTTAGACCACTGCTAAGTCTTTGATAGAATTTACAAAACTCCTAGCAGTTAATGTTTTAATGTATATTCCTTTTGATTACCACTGTCTAGTTTACCATACTGTAGAAAATAGTTTCATTTTAGAAACGAAGTATAGCCTCCATTTATTTCTGTCTGAAAAATGTGTTTTAAATGTGTATTTATTATTTCAATCCAGAGATAAACTGGTAAATCTCTCAGTTATGTAAAGTTAAAAAAAATCACTTTGTGGAATTATTGTGTAAACATCTAAATAGGTGATAAATTGACTTCTAAGGTAGAACCTTATTTAGATAGATTCCACAGTTATTACGGAGTCAAAGGACAAGAAATTGGCAGATGGGGTGCAGCTTTGTGTGTGGTTAATTATTCAGTGGATTCAGTTTAGAAAATTATGTGAAAAAATCTCTCTGGCATTAACAATACTACTGAAACTTCTACACAAAATATTTCCAAGTACATATATTCAAATTATAAGGAGGAGATAGTTTACTTCAAATTTGAGTTATTTAAAACTTTACATGCCTGGTCATAAGCTGCTTCTTTCAATTAATTCACCAGACAGTGTGAGTAAGATGCGGTATTGTGCTAGCCATTGTGAAGGGATGTAAAGCTAAGAGACAGGTTTTATAATGTAAAAAAGCTTAAGGTCACATTGGGGGAAAGGATGTAGATATAAATAGAGATATTATATGACACATGCAAGCATTTGATATGTTAGTTTGAGTTTTAAACAAAGCACTTATTAGTGTAGAACAGTGATGGTGAACCTTGTAGAGACTGAGGGTTCAAACTGCAACCTGAAACCCACTTATTTATCACAGAGTGCCAAAACTGCAGTTAAACCTGAATACTGAGGTTTTAAGTTAAGAAAAAACATCTTGTACATTAGCATCTTTTGTCTTAAAAGAAAAACACAGGAATGCATATGCCATAGGGTGGCCACCATAGAGGATACTTAAAAGGAAGGAACTAGTTTGAGTCAGGCCTCTCTAGAGGAAAGTGAAGTTATCTCTGGAGTGTATGAGACAAGTTAGCTTGAAAGTAAATAGGTTTATACTTAAAAGGCTGCACATAGTACAGTAAATACTGTAGAATATTAAGAGGATTCCTTGGGAAGAAACAGAAGTGAGACGGTGTTGTTGGAGGTGTGAGAGAGACACAGTACTGAAATTAGATTTGCTTTCATAGTTCTTTATTCTAGAACTGTAGGGGAGGAGAGAGGGAAATCTTTTCCTTTAGGCAGGTATGTTCAGGGAAAAGGAATAATTAGATGCAATTAAGGTAAGATTTGTAAACCCTTAAATATTTTTAAACTGAAACAACATGTATCTAAGATAAGTTTTAAACTAATAAACAAAAAGAAGGGGAAAAAATCCAAACAGTAACTGTCATCTTCACTCAGAGTTAACTGTTGTTAATATTTTATTTTATTTATTTATTTATTTATTGGTTTTTTTCTGGTACTGGAAATCGAACTCACTACGTTGCACTTGCCAGGCAAGCGCTGTGCTGCTGAGCTAAATCCCCAGCCCTTGTTGTTAATATTTTGCCAAATAGCCTTTTAGACTTTTATTTCAACCTTTTATAAGATCTTGAAATGTTCTATAGATAATGATTGAATATAGTAGGTAAGTGTAACATTTTGGAAAATAAATAGTAATTCCCCTAATTTATTTTTCCTAATAGAATTTGGGTTTCTTGGAGAATTACCTCATTTGTTATAAGAGTATTTTATAAATTTTAATCAGAGTATATGTGTGAATTTATTTGTTGGATAGCATAAAATATATCCTTAGGTCTTGACATTATTTCTGAATTACTGTTTCTGTTTTTAACTTTATGGTTTTTCTTTGAAATGGGCAATCATTACATTGTCCAGATGGGTCTTGGGCTTGTGGGCTCAAGTGCTCTTTCTGCCTCAGCCTCCTAAGTAGCTGGGGACTATAGGTATACTCTGCCATGCCTGGATCCAAATTCTTAACCAGTTTCCCTAACATCAGTTAAACAACCCCTTCTTCTCGCATCCTCTTGCTGTACTCTTTGTTCACCATTAAATTTTTGTAAATGGGGTTGGTTTCTGTGCTACAAGTTCTCATTTAGTGATATATCTGCTATCTTATAGGACAGTGAGATTGTTTTTTTAAAAGGCTGATATGTATATAATAGTTGGTGTCTTTAAAAATGAAACATGTGGGCTGTGAAAGTAGCTCAATGGTAAAATACTATACTAGCATGTGCAAAGCTCTGCATTCAGTCCCTAGCACCACAAAAAATAATGTAAAATAAAAATGAAGAAAATGTCCTATGTAAAACTGGAAGGGCTGAGGAGGGTTGTAGCTCACTGGTAGAGCACTTGCCTAGCATGTGCCAGACCCTAGGTTCAATCTTCAGGATAGGCAAAAGTAAAACCCAAAGGAAACCAAAACAACCCCACTCCTAAACACAATAATAACTGCAACAAGCTCTGAAAAAGTGGAAATAATGTGAGAGACATTTGTGCAGTGGGATCAGGGAGAGAAAGAAAGAGGGAGAGGATGAGAAGGGAGAGAGAGAAAGGGAGAGGAGGAGGACAGAGGTGTAGTAGAAACAAGGGCAGGATACCCTGGTAGGAAGAGGATGACTCAGAAGTCGAGATTCAGGAAGAGCCCAGACTCAGGAGAGGGGAGAAGGGGAAACCATTTTCTCATGCCTGCCAGTGTACCCTTGCTGAGACTGCCCTTCTCAGACTCTGCTCCTGCTGTGATTGTGTTTGTATATTCTTGCTCTCTCATCCCAAGCCTTTTGCCTCTCCTACTAGTTCACCCCCCCCCCCCCCCGCCACACACAACATCTTAACTATATTCTTTGTGCCTGCTGGTTGTGTCATCCTACTGTACACACAGTGGTCTTTTTACCTAGAAAAGTGTTCTGGGAAATGGTCTGGGTAATCTGAATCTTGGCATAGGCAGCGTGTTTGGTGTAGGGGTCAGGCCATGGAATGGGTTACAACTGTAAGCATGTGGTGCACCATGAGGTTATGTAGAAGGGAAAACTTAAAAGGTTTTAGAACATATAGCAAAGAATTGGTTGTCATTGGAAGGGAGAACTAAGGGAGAGGGAAAAGCCCCCCCAATTTCCATAAAGTGGTACATTGGACAGATCAAGTTCTAGGAGGTGGAAGTGAGGAGAAAACTAAAACGAATAGATACTTAAGTTATTTTTCTAAGACTGGCCAGCAGTAGCTATTCCTCAGTATATATAGGTTATGATTATTGCCCTGGATCTCGTTCTGACGTGTGCATGTAGATACAGTAGCTGTGGACAGAGAGGTGCGATGTCATGTATCTGTATTTATGCCCTTAGAATCTGGTATGGGAGTTATAATGCTCTAGGGAAATATTCTGGTGAAGAATGGCAAAGTGATAATGTTGCTCTCATTCCTTGTTTCATTTTAGCTTTAAACTTTTTTATAGACTGAGTGGTTGATTTAAGAACTTTTACATTTTAGTTTATCTTAACTTTTAATTGATAGCTTTCTTTTTTATTTTCCTGCCAAATAGCTTATGTGTGAGTTGGGGAATGATGTTATAAATCGTGTTTATGAAGCTAAAGTAGAAAAAATGGGAATAAAGAAACCACAACCAGGACAAAGGTACTATTTCAGTTGTCTTGATGTGCTCCTTTTTCTTTTCTAATCAGGAATATAGCAGTGCTTTTGTTTCAGTATAACTATATATAGCATTGTGACAGTGTTTAGAAGTAACTATTTCTGCTTCTGACCACATGTGGCTTTCTGTATCTTGTGCATATTAATAATATAATTATATTTTGAGCATATCATAGCTTTTAGATGAGAAGGAATCTTAAAGATTAAATCTCTGCCCAGAAATGTGAACACTCCTACCGTTAAAAGTAGATCAAATTTCTGTCGGTGGCAGGCAGTCAAAAGATACAGCCTGTCCCTTAAGATCTCTACGGATCAAGTTTCTACTGTTTGTAGTGAATAATTTTGCATTGTTTGACTTAGTTCAGCAAATGTTTGTTGACCACACACTCCATGGATGCATCGTACTGAGGAATTAAGGTGAAAGAAAGGTTGCTGTAGGAGAGGAGAAGGCTTACTTGCTTTGTCTGCCATGAACGAAGTGGGCAGGAGCCAGTGCCTTGGAGGCACATGCTTTTTGTAGTCAGTGGTGTTTTCAGTCATCCCGATTCTTTAACATTAAAATTTCTTTTTTTTTTTTGGTTTTTCTCTGGTACCGGGAACCGAACTCACGACCTTGCGCTTGCCAGGCAGGCGCTTTTGCCGCTGAGCTAAATCCCCAGCCCCTAACATTAAAATTTCTTTTGCCATAATCCTATGTTAAAATTTTTTCTAAGCCAGTAGTATTTACATCAGAATCTTGTATTTGCTAAAGCATCAGTGAGATATTTAAGACCTGGAAATACCCTTCTGTTTCAGTTGAAGACCTAAGCAGTTTAAAAGGCTATCTATAAGAAAAACTATAGAGCAGACTTGGTATTTGATGATTGTATCATAAATCAAAAGTTTAAAAGTGTGATATCTTTTTCCCCCCTATAAATTGGAATGCTCTGTTGTTTTAAGGTAATTACCTTATGAAAAATTATGTCTGTCGGTAGTATGTGATACTATTTCTTTGAGTATAAATGAAATTAAAATTCATTTCGGTATATTGTTTTCCTGGTAATGTTTTTCATTCTGTAAAAAGCTTGAATGAGCAGAGAAACTAAGACAGTAAAAGTGAGTGTTAATACTTGTGATTTGTCCATTAGGTTATTATTTGTATTTCATTTGACTGTGAAATCAGTTCAATAAATATTTGGAAGAAAAATATTGCATAATGCCACAGGTTCTGTCTTGTGTTACATCCAATGACTTGGCTTGAAAATATTCAGTGTATAATGGTGTCTTTTGAGTATTACCCATGTCAAGGATTAAACCTCATGACATTTTTATGTGTACCAGACAGGAGAAAGAGGCATATATCAAAGCAAAGTATGTGGAGAGAAAATTTGTGGATAAACAAATATCTATAGCATCATCACCTCCTGAGCAGGAAAAAAAGATTGTCTCCAGAGGCTGCGAAGAAAAGAGGCTGAGCATTTCTAAACTTGGGCCGGGGGATGCAGTCAGAGCATCCATCCACAGCTCAGGTATTGCACCTTTCTTGTTTTGAGTGTAAATATTTCTGTGAACTGAAGTGTTTCCCTAATCTCTGAATTAATAGCCATTGTAGGTTTTCTAAACGCTGTAAGCCTGATTCCTTCAACATATTCTAAAGAGAAACTGGATTTCTTTGTCTTTGAAACTGTTGCATCTAAATAGTACCATGGTAATTGACATAAAACTGCTTCAAATGGAAGGGGAGATGGGGATTATTAATCTGTCATGCCAAAAACCCTAAGTATCTGATTAACTACCTGATTTCCTTCCTATCTTTTCCTCCTAAATTTTTCCCAGTAACGTTTTTTCCTGCCCTTTTCCCTTCTTATGGCCTGCTTTGTGCTTTGCTAACTTGCATGACCCCAGTGGTTGCTGTAAATAGCGACGAGGCCAGGCGGGAGTCTCTGTTCTGTCCTGATGAGCTAGATTCACTCTTCTCCTACTTTGATACTTCTTCAAAACTGCGTAGTAGTAAGTACTACTCTTGTGGAGCATTCCAAGTCTGTGCCAGTGGTCATTGTGCGGTGTGGCCATTTCTTTAGATGTTACCCATTGTCTCAGAATTACACATTATTTACAGTCATGCGATAAATTAAGCTTTTACTACCCCTGACAGTTTATGGGGTCATGAGATGTGTTACAACTCTGAAAATAAGTTTATTTTCAGGCTTTGTGATTTGATTTATATCACAGTAAGCTAAGTGTTCAGAAGGATTAAAATTGTATTAAGTATAGTCCACTGGTGGTGGCTGAGTTCATGTTGACATGTAACAGCTCATATTAAGACCTCCTTGGTTGTTCAAGATTGTGTTCTAAGTGGTGTGAACTTTAATCACTAGCTAATTTTTCTGTTACATAGTCAAAAGTAATGACAGTGGGATCCAGCAAAGCTCTGATGATGGAAGAGATTCTCTACCATCCACGGTGTCAGCCAGTAGTTTATATGAGCCTGGTGAGTTGACGAAATTCACTGTAATTGGTACCGTTTTCTAAACAATCCATGTGGTAGATACCTGCTCTTGATTAAATAATTTCTAAAGGAAGTGGCTAGTCTTTTAGAAGGTACTAAGAGAGGAGTAATACTGTTAAATGAAAAAGACTGCTATTTCTATTTAAATTTGGATGTTCTCTCTTAGTTGCACATTCTTCTAAACTTCATTGTATTCTTTCTTTGTTTTTTTGAGACAGGGTCTCACTGTGCAGTTCAGGCTGGCCTTGGACTCACTTTGTAGCCCAGGCTGGCCTCGAACTTGCAGAGATCGTTCTGCCTCAGCCTCTCGAGTGCTGGGATTACTGGTGTGCACCACCACGCCTGGTGCTTCATTGTGTTCTAAGTGTCTTGGCATAGCTAAGGATAATTTTTAATCCACATGCACTTTATGTCTTATCATTCTATATCTTTCCTTGTGGCTGTCTTACCAGGTGAGATCAGCAACTGCCTTTCTATTAGGTTTTTCTTCTTACCAGTGCTTTAGTTTTATATTCTCTCTTCTGTGATTTCAGTGATTTTCATCTTTCAGAATTCTCAGGGAAGTAAATATTCTTCAGATTATTTGAACTAGTTATAGGCCAAATTGTAATGGTATTGGATCATACTTGGAATGAAGAGAGGTTTGATCTAATAGTAAAATTGTTCCAGGATTCTGGCTGCCTGTTTATTTAGTCTAGCCTGGTAGGAATGCAGCCAGTTTTGTTTTATTTTATTTTGTTTTATTTATTTTGTCTTTTTGAGACAGGGTCTTGCTATGCAGTTCAGGCTGACCTTGAGCTCACTTTGTAGCCCAAGCTGGTCTCGAACTTGCAGTGATCCTCCTGCCTCAGCCTCCCAGGTGCTGGGATTACAGGCATGTGCCACCATGCCTGGCACAGACAGTTTTAATGGAGTAAATGTCCTAGCCATTGAACACAGGCAAGACCACAAAAGATAGAGCATACTGGTTGGTGTCTTTGTAAGAAGAAGTTGGATATTTGGGGAGTGATCATAGGAAATAAGATATCTATGGGAAAATCTCCCATAGGCTTATTATGAGAGGTTAGTGTTTTCTTATGTCACAACTTTCACATTGTGATAAATTTCAGTTCATTTTTTAAAAATTGTAGTAAAATATACATAACCCAAAATTTACCATTGTAATCATTTTTAAATGCAGAATTCAGTGGCATTAGGTTAGTCATTTTGTTATGCCACCATTACCATCATTAATCCACAGAATTCTTTTCATCTTGCAAAACCGAAACGCTGTTACAAACAATTCATCTCTTCCTTGCTAAGAACTTGCTTTCATTAATGTGTTTGTGTTTCCTGTTCAGAAGGAGAAAGACAAGATTCTTCTGTGTATCTCGACTCTAAGCATCTTAATCCAGGACTTCAGCTTTACAGAGCTTCATATGAGAAAAATCTTCCGAAAATGGCTGAGGCTTTGGCTCATGGTGCAGATGTGAACTGGGCTAATTCAGAGGAAAGCAAAGCAACGCCACTTATTCAGGCTGTATTAGGGGTATGAGTTCATGCGTCAAGGTTTTGTTTGGTAGTAAAACCTAAGTTATCATAAATTCTGAATATGACTTTGGAATTATTATTACTGGTTTTTTGCTTGAAGAGATGGGCTGAAAAATTTTGATGCTTCCGTGCCCCTTGTGGTGATTCATTTTTGAGTGTCACTTTGATTGTTCCAGCTTCTTGTTTTTTGGGGGAGGTTTTGGGGGTTTTTTTGGATAATGGAAGTAAATTCTGATAATGAAAGTCATAGTGTTTTGCTAGGTCATAAACTGCGAAATACATTCCTATTAGAAGTGGTTCTTGGAAAGAAACTAATAAAATAGTTTCCTGCTTTTCTGGGGGGTATTTTTAGAGGGAAAATGAAATGGAAATGCTATTTGAGTAAATAAAAATAGTTTTTAACTAGAAATGTACTGCTGTGTCTTGTTGTTTGTGTTTATACATTGGTACTCTCTTTTCCCCTTTAAGGGCTCGTTGGTGACATGTGAGTTCCTTCTACAGAATGGTGCTAATGTGAACCAAAGAGACGTCCAAGGGCGGGGACCACTGCACCATGCCACCGTCTTGGGACACACAGGGTAATTATGATGTTTAAATATTTAGATATATTGTATTTGAAATAATGTTTTGACTTTTCAGGTTGAGGCCATGAGATTGTTTATAAAGAGAGGTGTCCCAATGACTTAAAATGTCATTACAGAGTTTGAAAGTTAAAAACTCATTTAGAAAAACTGTATGGTTTTTAGATACAAAAATGTTAGAGCTTACTCTGACCCTAACTTATTAAATATTCCAGGTTTAGTACTTCCTCTTTTACTGAAATTGTAGTGATTTCATCAGATAACTAAGTGTATTTAAAACTTAAATTTTTAGCGTAGCTGGTCAGATTACAAACTAAATGCTTAGTTTAGGCAGTTGACATTGTGATAACTTGAGCAATATTAAGACTCACAGAACAATAAAGCTATGAAAATGGACCTTCTACTAGAAAGTGTAAATGAAGTAGACCTACTGGCTTTATACAAAAAGTTTGTTATAGGTGATTATTGTTTTTTTATTTTTAAAAATTAATTATTAATCTAGTTGTGGTATTAGGTATTGAACTATTATAACTCTTCTTTTATACACTCTACCCATTCTTTCATATTAAACTATTTTTTGCCAATTTCTTCAGATTATGGATATTTGTACACTATAGCAAGAAGACTGCTTTAGGGCCTGTGCATTGAACTATACCTTCAATCCCTTTAAAATTTTTTATTGTGAGTCGGGGTCTTACTAAGTCATTAAGTTACTCAGGCTGGGCCTGAACTTGGGATCTTTCACCTCAGCCTCTCACTGTGCTGGTACTGTAGGTGTGGGCTGTCATTCCCTGGTGGTACATAGTTATTTTTTAAATGAAACATTTCAGGGTTTCCAATTACTATTTTCTAGATAAGCAAGAAGGCTTACTTGCTTGCTTGCTGTTTTTCTTCTCTTTCTTTCTTTCATTCTTTCTTTCTTTCTCTCTGTCTCTTTCTTTCTTTCTTTCTTTCTTTCTTTCTTTCTTTCTTTCTTTCTTTCTTTCTTTCTTTCTTTCTTTCCTTCCTTCCTTCTTTCTTTTTTTCTTTCTTTTCCTTGTTTCTTTTAAATGGCATTTTTTTCTTGTTTCTTTTTCTGTGGTACTGGGAATTGAACCCAGGGCCTTCACATTGTGATTCATCTTCTGCCCTTTTTATTTATTCATTCATTCATTTGCCCTTTCTATTTTGAAACGGGGCCCTCTATAAGTCACAGCGTTGGCCAGGCTAGGCCTGAATTTGTGATCCTCCTACTTCAGCCAGAGTGCTTGGATAACAGGTGTGCTCCACCATGCCTGTCTTACATAACATCTCTTTTTTTAAATTATAACTTGTTTTCTGTCAACAAAGAGATTCATTTCAATGACCTTATAGAAACTTTTCTATACTTAAAAACGGTAAGGATTTAACTTACTCTTTTTATTTTCTTCTCAAATTATCATAATCATTTCCATTTTATGACCTTGAGTGATCTTTCTTTTAATTTTTCCAATGTCTGTGTATATCATTTTATGGTATTCTTTGAGGGTAGGGACCATAATTTATAAATCTCACTATGCTATTCAGCCCCAGATTATATAAAATAGTGTAAGTGAAAATACTTTGAACCGGGGCTGGGGACTTAGCTCAGTGGCAAAGTGCCTGCCTGGCAAGCACAAGGTCGTGAGTTCGATTCCTGGTACCAGAAGAAAAAAACAAACAAAAAAAGAAAGAAAATACTTTGAATCTTATAAAATATTAATCTGTGTGAACTTTTATTATTTGAATCACCATTCATTTTTCAGAATGAATTAAGAATTTTTGAACAAAACATTTAAATTAGGAAGGGCTTTTAATTTTTTTAAGGCAAAATTTTTTTTTTCTTGTTGGAAGTATCTCAAAAATGTTGTTTCCTTAAACAGGCAGGTATGTTTATTCCTAAAGCGAGGTGCCAATCAACATGCCACTGATGAAGAAGGGAAAGACCCTTTGAGCATCGCTGTGGAAGCAGCCAATGCTGACATTGTAACCTTGTAAGTATTTGTTTTCTACTTCATTATTCCCAAGATGTAAGATGTTATTTGTGCCTAACAGTAGAAGCAAAATCAATGACTTCTCTAAAGTGTAATACTATACTTATAGTATAGTACTAGGATTGGGATTGAGGATGGGTAGAGTAGCAGGCAATTAATGTACTGCCTCAAGAATTAGAGGATCATAACTAGGGAGATAGCTGCATTGATGCTATTAGTAACTTTTGTGAAGTTGCATCAGCTTTGAACGTGATAAGAATCTGCTTTTTTTAAAAAAAGAATTTTCACATGAACACTTGATTAATTGTAAGATAAAATACATGGTTTTGAATGTTTGAGTAAAAGCTAATTTGAGCTATTAAAGAGAGATTTATTTATTTGTTGTGGTGGTACTGGTGATTGAACTCAGGGGTCTGCCCATGCTACACAAGCACTCTACCACGGAGCTATGACCCTAACCCTTTTTATTTTTCATTTGGAGATTGGGTCTTGCTAAGTTGTTTAGGCCAGGCTCAAATTTGCAACAGCCTACCTCAGCCAAAACAATAGCTGGGAAGAAGACTCTTAATTTGCAATCTTGAACAAAGTAGTTTGTTACACCTGGCATCTAGAAATGTGATGATCACCTGTACTTCATAGATAGAAGACTGTTATATGCAGTCATGTTCTCATTCTCTTCTCCTTGGTTATGTGAAACCCAGCATTACTGACCTACCCCTGATTTGAGCAGAGAGGCAGCCTCACTTACAATACTAATTCTTGGTCACAGAGAGAAATTCCCGTGACTACCTTAAACTAGAGCTCTCACTGAATATTCTTGATGTGCTGTGTACCAACCTTGCTGAGCCCTGCCAAATTAAACACAGCAAAGCACATGTTTCTCACTGGGAGATTTATTGTCATTGTGCAGGCTACCATTGGAAAATGTAGAACTACTAAATCATTATAGATGTAGAATAGGAGGAAAATAATGATTTTAAAAAATTGGACCAGTGTAGAAACTAACTCTGGATATAGCTTCCCAGGCAGTTTGTATATAGCAGCACACCTCACATCTCTTCCCAAACCATCTAAATGTTCTCATTGTATTTTATTTGAGTTTATTAGTTTCACTTTTTGTAAATAAGTGTCCTCTCTAAAAATCCACACACAGAGAAGACTTATGGAGCTGCTATTAATTGTCACAGTGGTTGAGAGGAGATGAAGGGAGTCACCAAAGTTTGAAGACAGGAAAAGTCCATGTCAGGCTCTGCAGTTGCCAGAGAGGACATCAGAAAAGTGTGACAAAGGCTGGGAAGACCGGGGCTGTTAGGGGGTCTATAAGGACAGTGAGCATTACCGAGTAGGAGAGGGGTGCCAAAGGGTATATATGCCTATTTTTAAATGTTCCTAAAATTAGTAAGGAGAAAAAGAAAAGAAATATTTGTCTTCTGCCAGAATAAACTTATAAAAAGAGTGTATAACCAGTGTAGTAACCGTAGGAAAATCTTGATAACCAATAGTCATTTATTATCATGGTTGCATAATGCTTGTCTATCAAAATCTGTTTACAGCATTTAGAGGCAGTACATGCTATTTATATACAGGGAATGCTGTCACTGAGAATGATCCAGAGTGAACTAAGGATGGGCTATAGCTCTGTACTGTAGGAGTAACAGTTGCAGTGCACAGAAGTTAAAACTTGACAGATTTCCTTAGGAGCCAGGAATTATCTGGAGTCTGAAGGACATAAGCTACTGGAGGTGTTATGGGGATCCTGCCCGAATTGAGCTGAAATTCATTTACTGTTTTTTTGTCACGAGAATTATATGAAGATAAGATGGACTTATTTTCATATTTTAGATTTCAAGGTCTGATAAACCCAAACCAGTTTATTTTAGTGACAAATACTGATAAAGGGGGAAAGTTGCATGAGTGCATGTATTATCTGATGCTTATACAATTATTTATTAACACTTATGTTGTGAAACTTCATCTGAACATCCTTTTTTTTAAATTTTAGGTTACGTTTAGCAAGAATGAATGAAGAAATGCGGGAATCAGAAGGACTTTATGGACAGCCAGGTCAATATTCCACTAATAACCATACTGAAATGCAGTATAAGAAATGTATTCAGGAATTTATCAGTTTACAATTGGAAGATTCGTAGTTCTTTAGCCAACTAACATGAATCTATAGAGTTTTTATAACCTACTTGTAAATTGTGACTTGTTAGCTATGTACTGTACTTTCACAATTCTTGGGTGGCTAATCCTGGGCCTTTAAAAATCCCAAACTGTTCCTATTCCAGCACATATTTACTTGCTCTATTTAACTCTGGCTGCTGACTTCCTTATCTCCTGTACAGATGTCTTCCATATACATTCCAGTGAAGTGAGTGGAATGATAAAAGTATTCTTTATATACTTACAGCAGCGAGATAGTTGTTTCTTTTTGGAATTCTTTTTAGTTATTAAATGACTATAACAAAATTACTTTCTTTTTGTTATTCAGGGAATTTCTATGAATGTGTTCAGGGAAAAAATACCTAAACAAAACAAAAAACCCCACTATATGTTTGGCGTATAAGAAGTCAGTACGAAAAATATTAAGAAAAAGGTTATTGATGAGTTTTATATTCCAATCTAAAAATGAACTGAAGAATTAAGTTATAAATTTACCAGTAGTCTTAAAAGTTCATAATGGGAGGAGAGTTAATTTAAAAGGTTGAAGGGAAAAGGTCTTGTTTTATCTTTAGCTTTGCCTCAAGCATTTGTGTACTATCAGTCGTTTTGATAAGTAGAAGTATTTAGGACAAAATTTTGTGGCTCTGATGGCGAAGCACACTTACTCTCATTAGAGAATCTCAACTCCTGATCACCTCAAGTTTCATTATGATTCATTTTTACCTTTGAGTCAAGCTGTCAAGAAAAGAAGTGTTGCTGATGAGATTCCTCTTTGATAACACCTGCTGATTAGATGTTCTTCAGAGAGAAGAGAGTAACTATGGGATTTCTAGGTTCATGATTTTGAGTATATGAATTACCGATCTGTTTTAAACTCATATATATATTAGTAAAAATTTCAGGTATTCTTAACTAAAATACTTTAGAACGTTCAGTTTGCAATGAGTATATTTGATTTTTAAAAAATGAATATTGATAACATTGTTTTTAAGGTGGCCTGGTAATATCTCTTCTTTCTGTTTAAATATGTTGTAAAATCTCTGTACTTTATGGTAGCTTCAACCATTTACTTTAACTCAGTATTTAGCTAATATCAATATGGGGGCATTTTTTTCTCAGAGGACTGTATTTACTACTTATTTTTGCCCTAATAGGGAACAAGTAAGGACTTTGAGAATAGAGGCACTTGAACTTAGATGCTTCTAATCTAGGGTGTCCCACTTTAATCCTATGGATCATATGTACCACTGACTCATGATATTCCAAGATGTCAAAGTGCTGATGACGGGTGAAGCTCTAGTGTTAATTCTGGATTTCACCCATTTGTTTTAAACTTGAACGTTAGATTTTAAACAAGTTATAATTTTGTAATAGATATACTTACATGATAGTATTACTAGGCCATTTTTGAGGCCTTTATGTTTAAGCACTTTAAAAATAAAAATCGATTAAAGGATGTGACCTGACATTTGTGAGGACAGTGAGCTTCAGGAGTTTAAGTTAAACAGTTTTTTCCTGAACTTTTAAATGTTTGGTCAGATACTCTTTCCTTAAGGTGTTTGCTGATAAAGTTAACCCACCTGCTTAGTCAGAAGGTCAGTGGACGACTGTTCGCTGGCGTTGGAAGCTTGAAAGGACAGAACCTCGATGTTCTTGCCACTTCTAGTTCTATCCAATTGCTTGGTTTTCTTCTGCCATTGTTTAGCGTTCTCAGCTGTCTCTTCCACTGTTACTTACTGAGGTTTATATATAACTATATGAACTCCCATTAATCCATGAAAATATGATTTTTCCAATTTATTTTAATGGAAATTTGAAAAAAAGATCTTATTTTGAAACAAACTTTTCTACCATTCTTAAATTTTAGTTTAGAGGTTAAAAAATAGGTGAGGATTCTGGAAAGAGTATGTCAGAATAAAAGGAGATTTAAAAAAAAATCCATTTTAGGGTCATCTTGAAAATAATTATATTTAAGTCATTTATAGGTCCTAATATTTGAAATAATAATTTTATGTGGATACAGGCGATGTGGTAAAATGGCACAGCAGCTGCTCACTACTTTTCCTTGTGAGTCTTTGGAGAGCAGATGTATTGGCAGTAGCTCTTTTGTTTTTCCTCTGCTTACTAGATCACTATAAATTTTTCTTTCAGAGACTGTGGTTGATTGTTTTATTCAGAACCCTTCCTCCTTTCTAAATTGTCTTAGTAACAGACAATCTCAGAACTCTGAGTAGCTTATAGGTACAGGAATTTTCAGTCTTTTGGTAATGAGGAGCTCTGCCATTTAAGATTCAGATATAATGTCTGGCAATCATGAACCTATTTCTAGTAAGCCCCATTTCTGAACCTTCTGTCTACAACCCCAGGAACCTGGGACTTCCCATACTTGAAAGGCAACATAAAAAGAATACACAGTTTCTGAAGTGAGAATGTGTTTCTCCTGGGCAGCTACCAGAACTCTTAGGAAGCCTGAGTGGGTGAGGGAAATAGCCCTCCTTGCTCTTAGCTGTTGGAAATCAATTAGTGGTTCCTTGTTTCTGGCTCTCTGACTCATCGTGGTGGCTGGCAAGTTCTCAGCCAAATGAGAATCACTGGCCCGGGCCCGGGCCCTAGTTACTCCTGGTTATCTGAGTGTGTAGCGGCAAAGGTTGGGGATCACTGATCTCATCAGGTGTGGAAGGAAACTGTCACCAACCTAGAATGTCTCACATGCTCTTGTCAGTTTGAGAGAGTTCTTTCCAAGAGCAAAGTCAGTAAACTATTGAATCATGATAACTGCTGTTATAATGCATATTCTAAATACCAAAACTTGAAATTGAATTTAAATTATCAGTGGAAACAAAGCAATTTATGTTTTAAATCCTCAGAACTGTCCAGGTACATAGAAAAGCTTACTTTGTGAAACAGAAAAAGAATGTGGTTAAGCAATAGAAAGAATATGCTTAGCTCAGCATTACAGATATTGGGGGATTGGTTTTTTATCATTTGTGATAAGTCGTTAAAAATGTACTTGTGAGAACTTTATAGGATAGCATATGCTGGGTTTTGTTTATATGTTCTAGTGTAGACAAATTATATTTGTCTTTGGAAAAATTCCAAACGATTGAAATTACATTTAAATTTTAAATAATCACATTGAAATTCAATTTGTGCTAGCTATATTAAATATCTTAGTCACTATTATTGTAACATTTGCTTTTTGACAGCACATTTTGAGGTCTAAGAAAGGTAGTATGTTAACAGTGCATTGATTAATGTTTTGTTAGAAACTAAATGTTAGAAAGTTTTTGTGTGTTTGATGATGGAAACTTCTCTTGTATTGTGTTGACTCTTGAAATGTATTCAATGAAACCAATGATTATTACAGCACCAACACTTTCCTTCAAGGAAGCATTTAATTCAGTGAATGAAAGGTCTTCTAATTTGTTTTGCATGGTACAATGGTCCTATGAAAACATACTTGTGTAATAGGTACTAGATGATTTAAAAACAAAAACTAGAAAAATACAGCTTGTTATACAAATATGCATTGCTAATTGTAGAAGCCATATATTGCCATTGTACTGTTGTGATACTTAAGAATGCCCATCTGGTGCTATCTGTAAACTATTTGGCATTAGCGTTTGCTAGATCCTTCTTCCTATTTCTTCTTGAATGTATAATGTGTGCCTTTTAAGTTACTTCTGGTGTTGAATGGTAAGATCAGTGTGGTATTTTTGTATTATAATCTGCACTTTACACTTTCTTGGGAGTAAAATTCTAGACTATCTAGTTTAAATAGTATTTTAAAAATATTTATAATGTTTACAATAAATATTTTACATATTTTAATTCAACATATGAAAATAAGAAAAAAATTTAAAATATTTTGTATGGTTTGTGAATTGCTATTTATTGTTGTTCTCTTATTTTATATCTTTTAGAGTGGCTAAAATGGGAATAGATTGTAGTGTGTCTTTCAGTGTAGAAATGAACTTTTAAAAAATCATGAGTATACTTGGATTTTCTTATCAGTTGTTCCAATATATCAACTTCTCACTTTGTTTCATTAAATCTTAATTTTTTTCTGTTTAAAGTAAATTAGGCTTAACTGATTCTTTCAGATCATAATTAAGTTTCCAGGCTAAATGAAAACTATATGATTTTAATAAATTGCTTTTTGCATTAAAGGGAACTAAATATTAAAAGTATTAAAATCTTTTTATTAAAAATCTCGGGTTATGCTATTAGGCCTTTTTACTAGCTCTTGACTGCTCTTCCCCTACATTTCTCTAATTCTGTAGCTTTTGGTATGACAGCTATTGTCTCAAAAATCTTGCTCTTCAAAACTGACAAAACTTACTGCATAACCACACCTATAGCAATGAGTTTGTTACCAAGTGGATGCGAGGTATCTTATGGGAAGTAATTACAAAACTGGGTTGCAACAATAATCATCAAAAACAGTATTAAATACTGAAAATGTTCAGGGCAGAATTATGCCAAGTGTCTGTATAAATCATTCAGTATTGGGTTTCTTTCTTTCTTTTTTTTTTGAGACAGGGCTTTGGTATGTAGTTCAGGCTGGCCTTGAACTCACTGTGTAGTCCAGGCTGGCCTCCAACTCGATCCTCCTGCCTCAGCCTTCTGAGTGCTGGGATTACAGGCAGGCACAACCACACCTGGACTGTTGGGTTGATTTCTCAATATCTACAAAGCTAATGTTTAGCAGAAAGCAAATGTGATGAATTATTCATTTTGAAAATAAGATTTCTTTGAGGGATTAATTTGTATGTGTATATATAAATTCCCATAGCAAGAAAAATAGTGTTTAATCTGCTATAATGTAATGTCTATAATCTACATCTCTATAAGAATATTATATATATATGTACATTTATTTCTCAAAAACAGGTGGCTTTGGTATTAACTCCCATTTTGTTATAGCGTTTTTGCTCATATGACCTGCAGTAAACAAAACAGCTTCTGACAATGTAAGACTATAACTTTATAGTCATTTTCTAGGCTTTTTAAATTTTATAAGTGTAGTAAGCAGTGAATTAGATGTGTTAGTTTTAAGCATTAATGTCTGAGTAAGGAATTACTTTTCACGTGCTATTTTAATTTAAATTTCTTTCAATTAAAAGATAATCCGATAAAAGAAAGCTGTTTTTCCTGATTATCACTTTGTCTTGTGAATGACTTGCATCCATCAAGAACACTAGTGTTTGGTTTTGATAATTTCTTTTGGCCTGTAACAAAGGAAATATTTATTTAAGCAATGTCTGGTTTACAATGCCTCATTTAGAATGACTTTAATTTCTTATGCGTTAATAAATGTATTTCCTACCTTGCTTTAAAATACCTGCATCCTTTCTCTTTTCTAACTTTGAACTTTCCTCTGTGGCTGCATCTGAGGTGCTTTTTTCAGGTATAGTTTTTTTCTTTCATTATATACCTTTCTGGCATTTATATTTAGTTGGCCTTTTTTTCTTCCAAAAATACTCATCTGAATAAAATAATGTAATGATATAGAAAACAGTTACTAGTAATAAAAATGAATGTTATTTTATTAATGCTTTACTTGTATAAATTTTTAAAAGTGTCCTTATTTTACTTCCATTCAGGTGATGAAACGTATCAGGACATTTTCCGTGATTTTTCACAAATGGCGTCAAATAATCCAGAGAAACTAAATCGTTTCCAGCAAGATTCACAAAAATTCTGAATTTTTAAGGAAGGGGCACTATATGAAATCTGTTGGCTTCCTAATGTGTGCAGCTGAAAACTCACAACTTTCACTGTTATAATTCTACTTACTTAATTTTGGTAGATATGAATGGTTTGGGGGAAAAGTACCCACTCATGGATATTTTTATAAATTGAAACATAGACCTCTCATAGTTGGAATAAGAATCTACTTTAGTAGCTCCTTAACTGAAAGGAAAAAAAGCCTGTTTAAAGGCTATTTTTTTAATAGCTAAATGTTGAATCTAGATTAGGACCACCTCTAGGTTACAAGATGCTAAGAGGTTAGGGAAAACACCTCTTTTTCTTGCCAACGAATGTAGCATTGATAATTTTTTTTCTGTGCATCATGGCCAGGATCATTGAAAAATGTCTATGTCAAGTGGGAGCCAGTTATCCTGTCTCAAGAGCATGTCTTTCTTTAGCTTCCCTGAGAATTTTGGGTGGGTCAGAAGTAGGAGTATTTTTTTTTTCTTGGTAGCCTAGCTATCATACATACTACACGATTTAATTACTAGGGCTAGAGAATATGCTTTCCCCCACTTGCTCACGAATACCGTTATATTCCTTAGAGGTAGGTTACTAGAGTATTGACCAGCACTCAGCAGACTTGGAGTGGCTATACAAGTAGACAGTAGTTCAGTCCTTCAGATTTATTCTATCTTATGAAGAAAAGAAGCTCTTAATTTTTTAAAAACCACCAGAAGGATTCCAGTTCAAAACTTGTAGTTCTTCATTGTTGGGTTTATTTCCTAAAACCTTGACAAATTATCAGTGTAATAAAACTGTTTCAAAGATTACTTTTGAATGTTGGAAAATTATACTTCAACCAAAATGTAAGTTCCAAAACAAAAGTTGATTTGTTAAATTTTGTAGGGCTTTTTTATATTGGCGATTTGTTATTTTTAAGATACAGTTTTCCTGTTGCTCCTGGTGAAAGAAAAGTCTCTTTGCATAATGAAGAAGAAAGCTTGTTTTTCTTACTATATTAAAGCATACAGCAGTAAATTCCTTTTGCTTTTTTCTGCATCCATCCTTTGTGGTATACACAGTGTACATTCTTTTAAATTATATCATGAGTATAGTTTCGGAATTTGGTGATGTGAATCACAGACCCTTGAGTTCCAAGATAATATGAATGTACTTGTTTACCATTTATATATTACAAATTAGTCTGATTACATTTTTGACATGTCTTATCAAGAATATAGAATAATTAAGTAATTTGTCTTGTGGTTCCTTTTCAGTGTTGTGAACAATTGAGTTTAGTCTTTTAGAAATTATGTTGGTAATGTTATTAGTACTCAGTTTCTAAAGAAAAAGTTTTAAACTTCTAAAAGAGATACTGTATTTAATTAAGTAATAAATTTTTGTAACATTTGTTCCCTGGTAAGTAGAATCTTTTAAGTTGATTAAACATCCAGTCAGAATCTAAGCAGAAATTATATTGAAATGTATTCATATCATAGAAAAGTTTCCATAATTTGGTTAAACTGCAAGCATGTAATGCTTATTTGGTAATGGTCACTATACATTAGATAAGGATAAAAATGTAGTAAGTTATTTCTGAGGAAATACTTACCTCCAAAGCATTATATTTTATTACAACATAACAGAAGCATTAAAATTTTCCTGTTTTTACTGAGTCACAGGTCATCTGGCTTTGTAGGTACTTTGTTGAAAGGCAAAAGTCTGACTTAAAACATTTTCATTAGATTCTACTTTGAAATTAATTGCCCTTTAGATCTCAAGGAAGACAAATGTATTAAACAAAAAGGAAGGCAGAGAAAAGAAAGCCTCACTTTTCTTTTATACATAGTGTCTGCTCTTGTTTTAATTGTAGATGTCACTCCTGAAGCTCCTGACCTTTGTCAGGTTTCCTTTTGGACCTGGCCCCTGGTTTTTGAGACCACCTCTGGGACCTCTGTGGTGATGAGGGAAAGTCCTTGTGACATCCTTACCTCCTTGGTTTGAGTCATGAGTTGTTAATGTGGCAGTAGTGTCTACTTATATTTAAAGGTCAGAGATGTACTTGAAGTGCCCTACAGGTGGTCATGGTTTTGAGTTGAATATCTCCAGAGAAAGCCATATCTTTAATGTTGCAGGGAGACTGCAATACAAAAATACATAACTGTGGCTTTATTTAATGAATGTACTTGAGATCCTGTCTGGATTAAATTTGGCAGAAATGATAGAGTAAACCATAAGAGTTTAAATTAAATTAATAGTCACAAGGTAGGTTGGCTCTTAGGTGAATGTCACTGTGTCAGCTAATAGCTTCTGTATAGTATATAACAAATTTGAGTTTTGTTACTCCGTGAATTATTCAGTGCATTATGAGAAATTATAGTATAAACCATGTTAATCTTACTCTTGGGCGTCTTAGTCTGTGTGATTGCCCTTTATTTTCTTCCCATAACTGATATGATGATATTAGTTTCTGATTCTTTATCATTATTCTGTTAGCTCATTATCTTTAGTCCAGTAACTTGAAAATTGGATTAATATCAAAATAAGAATAGTAGCACTATGAAGAGTTCATAAAATGCAGTTTCATTTTAGAATTAGACTAAAGGTAATTGAGCAGTTATATTGCCATGCTTCATTGTAACATTTGCATGTGTTAGACTTCTGCATTATCTTTAGTACAATCCTTGGAAATTCAGAAATTTCCACGGACTTAACTGTATTACAGTGTGCCTCGTTTATACTGGTTTTCACAGTAGATTTTCATGAACTTTGAAATTTACCTTCCCAAATATACAGACTTAATTTGTAACATATATTTTAGGTTTTTATAAGTGCATTTTAGGAAAAAATGTAGACTTTTGCAAATAGTCTGGAAAATTTTAAGTTTGTGGCAATGTTAGCAGTATTTTAAAAATGTAATTTCATGTACGTTAAGTATGGTCACAATAAACCGAATTGTGCTTAAGACTAAATATACTACCCATTTTGAATAACCGACATTCCTAGATCACACATTGTCAAGTTAAATCTTCTGTATCATAGCACTTTTGACATGAGCTGGAAAAATGGTATATTTTTCTAGAAATCATGTCCAGAATGACTTAACTATGTGATATAGTAGAAAGGGTGCTGGAGTAGTAGTCACTACCCTTTTTGATTCAGGGCTTCTCACAAATGAAATAAGTGGATGAAACAAGATGAAAATATAAAAACATCTGTTAGTGTGTGTTTTGCTATTTACAATGTACTTGGACATCAGTTTATCTCACCTGATTCTTACTGTAGGGCTTCTGAGATCTTAATCTAAGAGCTTCAACTTCGCTTTTTGATCCTAGTGTGCTCCCCTTGTTTTACACAGGTGGTCCCCTCAGTTGGTGGCAGAACTGGCACCGTAACCCAGGTCTGACTGACTACAAGTCAGAGGCACTTTACTTGTATCATGAAATGTTTAGAGATAATTGTAAAGCAGCAAGCTCTGATAATGACCGCCAGCTTTCCTTGTGTTTCATAACAAAGATGCCAGATACTGTGGAGGACCTTGATGCAGAGTTTGAAGGGATAGATTGGGATTTGGAGACATCAAATTGTAGGAAAATTTACATGTTTATAACAGCAAACATCAATGAAAGCAAAACATTATAAAGATAATTTTAATTCAGCACTTAATAATTTCTTGATGCTTTCAAGTGAAAGAGGTAAAGGATACTTGGATTTAGTTTTGTTGAATCCTGACATGTATAACGAAGGTTTTATGGACACCATTTTCTGTTTAGATAAATTTATCTACTTAAAATTGGATAACCTGGGGACAAAGCAAGGTTTGATTAAATGCAACTTTCTCTACCTTGATCTTCTGGATTTTACTTTTTCTCACTCTCCCCTAAATCCCTATTTTGGGTGTTAATCATAAACAGGGAAAGCTTGCTACATTATAAAGATTGTTGGCATCATTTATTTTACACAAAAGCTAAAGGTTAACTTTTGGAAATGATGAGCTACTTTTCTGTATGTGTTTACTTGTGCTTTGTGATATTTCTGGATCATTCCAGTCATAAAGACTTATTACATGTAATATTTCTTGCTACCTGTGAAAAGTATATTTTAAAGAATGTATAACCAACACTCCCATTTACTTTTTATTAGTATGTAGAAGGTTTGTGTCTAATTCATGAAGGTAGTTTTACTCTAGTGTATCATTGTAAATGGAGCAAAGTACATACATTATTGTTATAGCTATTCTAAAATGTACATTATGTAAGAATTGTAAATATTATACTTGATTAATTTGTATGCTGAAAAATTACAATAATAAGTCAATAAAAGTCTTACCTCTGGCAGTTTTTTATGCTTACATTTCCACTTTCTTATGAACAACACCGTAGACATTTGTTACATATTTAAAGTACTATATAACACACCTGTAATCCCAGCTACTTGTGCGGCTGAGGAAGGAGGGTTCTAAGTTTGAGGTCAGCCGGAGTGAGACCCTGTGCAAAACAATTCCAAAAGGGCTAGGGATGTTGCTCATTGTTAGAGTGTTTGCTCAGCATGTGGGAGCGCCTGGGTTCAATCCCTAGCTAACCACCGCCCCCGCCCCTCAAAATCAAGGTACTGTATACTTTCTAAGCACTTTAGATTGATCGTATTGGTGCTCAGTTAAGAAAGCAATTTTTAGTGTTTTAAGTATTTCTGATCAGAGCAGTTTTGGCTCTTAAATCATTAGCTAAAAAACTATATAGAGAGCTTTTTTCTTTTTAGCCCTTCCTCTAATTTTTTCTCATTATGATTGACATATATATTGAAGTACTTAATCCAGGCAACACATTCATACTTCATGCTTTTAGTGAACAAAAACTGTGTGTGTGTATTTTGCCGGGAATTGCACTCAGAACCTTGCACTTGTCAGGTAGGCGCTTGTGCCACTGAGCTATATCCCCGGCCCACAAAAACATTTCTGTATGAATTGGGATTGAAGCAATGGAGAGCTGGAAAAGGAGAATTGGAAGTGAATTGCCTATTTTTTGCCTTTTTAAAAACAGTTAATTGAAAGCATATACATGCACTTTTTCATGTAACTTGCTTTATTTAGCTCTGTCTTACTTTCAGAAGAGTCCTCTCAATAAATGTTTTACATGGAAAACCTAGCAGCTTATCTTTTTCTTACTGCAAAAAATAACAAGTAAAAAGGAAGAGAATTGTCCATAAATTCTGATATACGTCTGTGTTGTCCAGAATGATATCCACTGGTCCCATACGTCTCAAGTAATTAAAATTAGACTTGGTTCAGTTTTTCAGTCATAAGAACTGAGCTCAGTAGCCACCTGGGGCCATTGATTTCAGCGGGGCAGGTCACAGAACACACTCGTCACTGGGCTGTATTGGTGATGGTGGGGGAGAAGCTGCTGCTTCCTGGACCTGTAAACCTTCTACACCTGTCTAGATCTGTCTAGACTGTGCATATGTATTTATACAGTGGGGCCAGACAGTTTTGTTACCTGCTTTTTCTCAACAGGATTTGAAAATACTTTGTGGAACATTTCAAACCCGCACACAAGTAGAGTAACTTCAATAGCCATAGGCTCATGGCTAATACTGTTTTATTTAAACTCCTGCCAATTTCCCCTTTCCCCTTCCTTTTTCTGAACTAAATCCTAGACATTTCACCAGCATATCATTCCATGTGAATCTCCAAAAGATAAGAACTCAAATAATTGTATATGACTTCTTTGAACTGTTAAGCTACACAGGTAGTATTTAGATTGTTCCCAAGTGTCTCAACTGCTATTTTCAAAAATAGACTATTCAAGTCAGAATTCATATAAGTTCCGGTTAGCAAATACGTCTCTGGAGTCTCTAACTAGAGGCTTTTTTACGTTTTTAATGACTGCATATTTTAGTTTAACCACTTTACTTAGGTGATGGTTTGATTTCAACTTTTTGTTCTCATAAATTTGGCTCACATGGCTAAATATTTTAGTACATTCTTAATTATTTCCTTAGGATGAATTCCTTGAACTGAAAATGCCGGTTATATGGCTGGGTACATTTTTGAGGCTCATTCAATGTGTCATGTACTGTGTTAGGTACTGGAGATATTGTTGCTTTAACAATGTAGTGGACAGTATCTCCTGTTCTTGGAGTACATGGGGCCAGCATGGTTGAGGAGGGCCCCTCGCCAGACACTGGAAGGGAAGGGGTTTAGAGACCATGCCTATAGTCAGTGGCATGAAAGTCATTCTCTGAGGCCAGAGAGATTGGATATTTCCCCAGCTTTACAGATGTGGCGATTACACAAAACACAAAACCAATTGCCTAATCCCTGGTCAGAAATCAGAGAACCCAGCCAAAGGTAAACTTTGAATTGCAGGGTTATGTGCTTGCCAGGGTTCTTTGTGTTCTTAGTCATGCTGTGGTACACTCAGCTGTATCTATTTTAAGCCTGAAAAATAGCATATATCGAATGGTGGGTGTTACAGTCTCATAGTGTCATTTTCCACAGGTAGGTTGGACACTGAGGGCAGGGGGCTTGAGGTTTTCATTGCTGTGTCTCTGAGTGCTATGTCACCAGTGTTGTAGTTTCCAGTCAGGGAGCCACACGTTACTTTTTCCTTACAGGCAAAGAACTGGGAGCAATAAAGTATAACTTGGAGATAAGACCAGTTTCTTGGGTAGTTTCCTGGCTTTGTGATTTAAGTGATCATGTTATTTATTTCTGCCTCATAAATTGTAGGCATGGTGAGCTATGTCTGAAAAATAAAGCAAAAAAATGTATCTGTTGAGTAAATTCTAAAGTAAATGGCACGAGGAACCATGTGTTAATGATGTATGTAGGGGGCTTAAAGGCACAATTCCAGAATTATTTCTTCGTATTAGTTAGAGACGTAATTATTAGAAGTTTGGTGTTTCACATTATAGATATCCCAGAAGAGGTGTAGTTGCTAAACTATGTTTTTGCAAAAACATAGTTTTTGCTAAACTATGTAGTTGCTAAACATGTTGGATATTTAACCTTTCAAAAAAAATGAGCTTGGTGTTTTTGGCAAAGTATATTCTTTACTAAACGTTAGCACTTGTTTTATTTTTAATGTATGCCTTCCTAACCTGATGAAGAGTAGGCGCTCGTTTCAGCCCCACTTCACACTGGGTGCTGCTGTGGTTCAGAATGATGAAGTACAGTACTTTTAAAGTCTTAACAGCTTGTAGTGTTGGAGCTGGAGCTGGAGCGTGGACTAGTACTAAAAAGCTTGCTTTCTTAACCCGTGCTATGTAGAGAAGCTTGTGGTAAAATACAATCCGGATCTTGAATTACGTTAGCATAAGTTTGGGCTTTGGAAAGCAGTAAGACTTGAGTTGGGATCCTGGCTGCATTACGTACAGACAACTAGATTTAGATAGTTCTGTAAACCAAAATTTCCTTGGCAAATACTCCTACTTCAAAATAGTGAGGGTTAAATGACGACTCAACGGCAGTAATTCTGCCCCCCTCCCCAATATATTAAACTTGTGGCCAGATCTGTTTCAGAGGCCCGGTGTTTTTCAGGAGCGTTGCTCCAGGAATGGGGTGGGATGTAGATCAGTAGTGGAGCGTTCGCCTAGCAAGTGTGAGGCTGAGGGTTGAAACCCCAGTATGGGGTAGGGTGGGGAGATGGGTTGTGGCTGTTCTAGGGCTAGTTAAAAGCTGGCTAAAAATTTGCAAAACTCCTTGGGGCATACTAGGCTCTTTATAATGTATTTCCATCTGTTAAACAAATTGATAGCACAATCTTGGGAGTTACTACTGAGGGACTCTCGGAAATGATCACAAGGAGCAGCTGGGTCGGCCTGCTGCCCACACCCTTAGTTTTCTGCTCCGTCCCAGAGTGCCAAGGGTGGAGGGGTTGTGATCTTATATCGGCGTGAAAGGAGAAGGACCTCGCTAGTTTAAATTTCCCGCCCTAGCTAGTTTCCAAGAGGTGAAACCAGTTGGGGAGAGGACATAGAAACTCTAAAAATTAGGGGGAAATGTTCAGAGATAAAATTATTCCCTTTACTTGCCTCTAGAGTTTCTTTATGCTAACCGAAGGCCAGCTGCGTTGGATATCCGGTTTCTTCACGGCTCAGCTTCGTTGTCTAGTAGCTTGCTAGGCAGGTTAGGAGCAGGGCTCCCCAGCCAGCCAGCGGGTGGAGCCGGCCTTCGGGCTGCTAATCCTTGAGAGTTTAGGACCCTGCGGCCGCGGGGCTCGCGCCGGCGCGTTCTCGCCAGCGATTGGCTCTGCGCC